GCTGACTCTGCTGAACAAGGCATGCGTGTGTTCGTGGAATTTTGCCATTCGGAGTTGCTCATAAAAGCCTTATTTGGTGTCTACATTGGCGACCTTCTACACGCTGCCCTCGTTTCCATCCCTTGCTATCCCTTTGTCTGTGTGTTTTCCAGGTTTGATTCGCTTCGATGGCATAACCTGTGATCGAACTGCGCCCAGTCTCCTTGGCTGGGCAACAGCCGCACTCTCCCCTTACGGTTATTCGGCCATCTAGAAGCCATAACTTTGCCTGCGGTGGCGCTAAGAGACAAATGCACGAAATTCGGTCATCAGTGTCATTCCGACAGTCAGGATGAAGTCTCCAGTAGGTGCAATTTAACAGATTAGATCTGTTGATAATTCGAAAGTTATAACAGGATCTAAAATGAACGGATTGCTGGTCACCACAAAAAGCTCACTCTAAAAGCTGCTGAAAAAGCATTTCTGGCCACATAAATGGCTACGCAACACCGTTCTCTGTCTGCTTCGAGAAGTCGTCAATCCTGCTTCTGTCCCCACACGCACTAGGTAGTGCTAGTTTCCGGGTTAAAAGTTGCTGAAACTGGTTTTTAGAAATGCTATGGCAGTAGTCAGGAGAGTGTGGACGGAAATACCTGAATCGTCCTTTAAAGTACATAACGCACTCTCGAGTAGAAAGGACGGTCGGATGTGGTTCGGTAGCCCCACCTGAAGTAAACAACCCCCAGTTACCTCTAATACAGGACCGGTGGTAATAGGGGTTTTTACAGGTGAAGCCGGGTACCGCACAGGCCATGAGGTCAACTAGTTGTATGCAAAAGAAAAGCTATCGGGAGTGCGTGGTTGTACTTTCAATGGTTGAGAAATAGTTCCGCTAACTCCCAACCCTAACCCTTAACTATAACCTCTTGTCCAGAACCCAAATCGATAACCCTAACCATAACCCGTAACCCCAACCCCAACAGTATTGAGTCCATCAGGTGGGGCTACCAAACCGCATCTTTCCGAAAGTCCTGAAGAGAAATTTTGGCAGACGTGGAAAAAATCAGCACAGAAGCTGTTTAGGCATTTCTTCGCCACCTGTAGTGCTTACCTAATGTTGCTTAACCTTCCAAAAAGGTCAAGTAAACGTTGTCTTAATGCAGTTCATGAGAAGAACCCGCAATTATATTATTATTAGGAGAGGAATATTTCGACATTAAATCTCTCAGATTGGGACGTTTAATTAAACACATACATTGTATAAGGGTCATGGGCTTCCGAAACTGGCTTCGGAGATACGCCAATTGTTTCAGAAATTTTCACCATTAAAACATTTCGAGCCCTGTCCCTAAAGAAATGACGGAATATGCAAACAACTGACTTTGGTAGCTTTAAAGCACTTTTGGGTACATGCTTCACTGGCTCTTTTAAATCTAAACCTTCAGTCTGCGAGATATTTAGTTTGAAACGAAGCCTCACAAATTGCGAAGGGGAACAGATCATTTGTTGGTGAAGTGGATAAGCCCAGTTTACACAAATGTGGATTTCCTTCCTGAACGATACTGTCATAACTGACAACTTCAACGAAAGGTCTATAAGTCTTTGAAATCGCGTGCATCACCTACTCTGAAGACACAACGGCCCTTAACTTCTTCAGTCTTTGTGGCAATATAACTGGTGTGTCGAGGTACCGCCTGGTCCCAAAGCCCGGTACATATTGGATCAGATTAAATATTGCGTGGCAGACGCAGACGGACCGTTTAGCTTTGCCAGACATCGCCCTCCATATCTGACCGTAGTCGTCCTGACGACAACAAACTTCTGCTGTCTTACGGTCGGTATGGTGAAGTAACGAACAAACGTAACCTAAACGAACTAGTCAATGGCGTTTCGATTTGCACATGGATGTTTTTAAAGTGCAGCGCACTTGCGCTGCGCCCTACTAGCTCCCACTTCCCTCAACTGTCATCACTGGAGGCAGAACACACTCAACACGACCGTACGCATACCTTGACTCAGTGACTTAAAAAGGATCTGGTTAGGAGCGAGTTACCTCGTCGACTGGCAACCTTCCAAGCCACGACGGTTAGAATACCGTAACAGGTTCGCGCGCTCCAAATTCGTTTTATTGAAGAATTCGCTGGATGCACATCTCCTCAGCATAAACTTCGATTTCTTTTCCCTCTTCGCCCCTGCACGACCTTTAATTAAACTCGGGCGCAGTCCAGCACAACGGCCACATTGTGGGACAGACGGGGACCTAGGCACTTGTGACGGAAAAACTGTCGGGATTGCAGTTTCAACGATACTCGTCGATAGCTTAAAGACATGTATGCCAATACGCAAAGTAGAGATAACTGTCAAAATAGAAACTAGGAGGGCAATTCCCCAGAGCGAACGGAGAATTATGGAGCGGGTGCCTTCACTAACGCAGTTGTCAGTTTTGCTGATTTCATCAGTCTTTTTAACTGGATAAAAGTCAGACTAGCCACAAAGCTGCTTAGAGCCGAGGCTTTGTCGTAAACAGTGTTCAGTCGGCCATTAACTGGTTCTGAGGCTCGGTAAATTGGCTAGGACATGGCATGATAAATTAAAGAGTGCCTCACAAGTCACTAGCCTGTGCTAAATGGAATTTTTATGAAACACCCATCACGGAGTCGACCTTCATCATCAGTCGTCCCTACCAGAACGATCAATAGCACACGACGGAGGAGTGGAAGCGGCTAACGCACACTTCCCTAAGTATACTAAATATGCTGCGCTCAGGAGCTACTGCGAAGACCCACTAGAATTACCTGTAAAGCCGCCAAATAAGTGGGGTAATTTGGCTTACCCCAGCACTGGAAGTCAAACTATAGTGGCTTTTTCTAACATGCCCTCCTATCTTCACCAGTGATAAATCAGATCCGTGACTGTTACGCGTAGACCTGCTTCATGAACGTTAATCACTGTGCCCACGCCTTTGACCAGTCGTCACGACCTTGCCTCTTTGTCAGAACATGGGGAGAGTGAGAACCCACAGTGGACTAGACACTGGGAAACTATAAACAACTTCACGAGCTACTTTACCAATGCGTTGGTGGTTCGCATGGTTAACAATGAACGAACTTCCAGCCGACGGAGGTCGTCGCGGACAAGTAAGGCGTGGTCACCATGAAAAGTCGGAGCCGCCCGGTTTTATTCAAAATATTACTCAAAGTACGAATTTAGATTAAGTATCACAAGATGGCGCTAGAAGCCAAGTATGGGATAAATAAAACAGGAAACAGAGGCGTGAGCTAGGTTGGATGAAAGTTTGCTGAAAACACGTTCGCGCCCTTTTAAATGCGGCGCGAGGAGGAAACGCCCCACAGCTAAGGCACAAAGTAAGAAAACCACAGTGTGCTCACAAGTAAAAAGGGACAGGATTGAGTTCTGTTCGAACCAGATGCGGTCGAAGAACGGAGGCAGGTAGTACTCGCCTAATGTGGATAATAGAGGAGCAGGGACCGAGTAGAACAGTTTGTTGAAATCAGACTTCCAGCAAACGCTTGCACCGATCGACAATGAAGCAGAAGGTCCAGGCCTGCAGGAAAATGATGTAAATAGTTGGAAATTGCAAACAAGTATCGGCCAACAAAGCATATCGACGTTTAAGCAGTCAAACCCCTCAGGCGTGCTCTGTTTTATTTAAAATCTCTTCGCACGTCTGAACGTGGGAGGGTAGTTGACTCCATGAATAACCCTTTTCCATTGCAGACGGGCTATCAAAGAAACGGGTGAAATGGGTCGACAGTTTTCGGCTTTTATCCGATCACATCGTCAGACTAGGACGTGCTCGAATTTAAAACCGGGTCCAGTTGGTTCCCACGCATTTGAGTCACAAGTTAACGCATTCCAGGCTGCAGTCGGGGCACCTTACCTATCCGATTGTGAGTTGAAACCTGACCTTGGAGATCCGCCCTAGACGGTCATATAATGACCCGTCATCGAGTCTAGTTTAGCTGGCTGATGACAACAAAGTAGCCAACAATAGTCATTCCCGTCGCTAAACGACAGGCTGCGAGGGCTTTAGTTTGGAACTCCAAGGCAAGGTTTTCTGGCACTATGGAAGGTTTTTTTTTAGAATTCATTGTGATAGTACCGTGGAGAGTCTCCGATGCCAGAATCAAAGTCCCTAAAGTTATGGTTGTCTGTAAAACAAGCACTTCCAGACAAGCGGATCACGTTATCTGAGGTTTAATCCTTGTGATCAGGCCTGTTATCGTTAATCACCATCCACAAGTGGCTGTGAAAAGCCCACTTCAGTTCTAATGAGCGGCCTCCAACTGTAGACGGCCACGGAGAAGACCCTTTTGTACCTCTGCGCGCAAAGCAGCTAATATTTCCCAAATAGGAGCTCCTTCCAATTGTAGGACACTGGAGACACCAATCATATTAATTCCCAAAGGATGCTGTCTATTCGGCAAATCGGGTTTTACGTACATAAAAGAATAATATAAGTTAAAGGCGAATGTACCTGATCAAGGACAATGCGGACAGTTTTGGCGGCAAAGTTCATCACTACCTCACCGGCGTACTCGTCTCCGGCAGCACGGTAGAGATTTTTCTGGGGGTTGAAAAGCGAAAAAGGTACAGTTTAGGTCATGGTGTCGCCAGGCGCTCAATGGAATAAGGCATTTTTGTGCTGAGATTCGTTTTCGGCAAACAACTTGGAATTTATGGGTAGGCCTAGAATGCGGAAACTCGCGAATAATGGAGGTAAGCGACGGGTAACTAGAGAGAAAGTCTCACCTGAACAGCCTTTAGTTCGGAGAAGGCAAAAGTCATGAGGATGACACGTCGTGATGGATGCAGGAAGCGGAGGGATGTTCGACAAATTGCCACCAATACGGGAATGTTCGCGCTGTTGAACTCGGAATCGCCGTACTCGTGTTGGAAAAAGCGGACGGAGTAAGTCTCAGGGATGGACTTCAAATAGCCATGGAAACAGGTTGCTCCGTAGAGAGGCCAAGATGATATGGTGGCTGCAAAGATGTATCAAAAAAAACAAATGTCCAAAGATTGTGATGAAGCGAGCATACAAAGGGATGTGGAACAAGTCCAAGATAATGAAAAACCAAGAAAACGACCGACATGTCGTTCTTTGATTCCAGCTTAAGGCCAGCCTATGTCATGCAAATTCGCAACTCTAAAAAAACATGAAGTCCACATCTGTTGCCTTCAGTGAGGTAGCCGGTAGTAACCAGCGTTACACACACTACTCCATGAAGAAGGGTCGAGCAGCGTGTGGGACTCGTTGACACGTTGTCGCTTGAACGTGCATTTTTCAATTGTTCTGACTTCACAGGGGGCATCTTTGAAGAAGTCCATAAATCGACCTCCGAAGATCGACTTTTAACATCAAGGAAATAACGCATTTTAAAAATAGCAAGGTAAGGCCGTCTATGCAGCGCTTACACTTACGAAATGTCGACTGCCACTTTAAACAATCACAACGGAAATCCAGATTAATAAATGTAAGTTTTTAGGAATGCAGAGCAACTGCCTGGAAGAAGATAAAACGTTACAGTGGGTAGCGATCACACCATTGACAGGTTTTGTCCCAGAATCATAGCAGTACTAGATAACTTGCGCGTCCGCCATCTGTCAGATGAACTTAAAAGCCAGGCAAATGTCTTCCGTTTTTAGAAGATCATCAGGAAACAATAAACTAACCGATAACGCCCCTTCGAGCCTCAGGGATGGTGTAGTCGGGTGCGGCAGCCACCGCATCGGTGACATGCTTGATCCAGTCCTTTTTGCGGATTCCCAGGCCACGTGGCATCAAATCAATGGCCTCTTCCCTGCGGAGTAGATAATTAAGCAAAACTTTACTAAAAGAAAAATACTTAACAGCTGCAGATAAGGTTTCAGAAAAAACGCGGCCCATCAAAATTCGGTCGTAAGTGGCTGGTCTCAAAACAGAACTACGCAAAAATTCTCGCGACCCCTGCTAGAAAGGGGTTGCAAATTGAAGATACTTAATTTGCTGCGCAACTAATCAGGGATGTTATTCCGCTTTATCTCTTGGTATGCGCAAATTATCCCCTGACACACTTTAAGGCCAATAGGTGTGGGTCTGTCGTCAAAAAGTAATCGATTTTAGCATGCTTTTCGTCTCTACTGGCATTTTTCTTGGATAGCCCATGAATTATTCGAGCGCAGGTAGCCCAGGCCTAGAAATCTGTGCGCATTCACAGATTATTTTTAAAATGTCTTACGGTTTGCGGTGATTCAGGGCAATAACAAGTAGGGGTCGACGCAAGCCATGACCGAAAACTTGAATCGATATGTTAGAGCGATGGACAAGGATAAGCTATAAGCCCTTATGCATGCCTGTATAATGATAGGACTCAAATTATTCAACAGCGCCAACATGGAGATGTGGCTGGTCGGTGTACGACTATCTAACCTAGGAAAGACTAAAATTATGTAGCCGAAAACATTCACTCAACTGTAACGGATTTGTTTTCACATGATGGTGTGGCTTCACTCGACTGCTGAACGTTCGAATGGGTTTTCAGGCTTCATAAAAATCGATACCAGGAGTGGTTATTCCCGGGTACATTTTACTTTTTACGTAAGCAATGGCTTTTTAAAACGATCGCCACAAAGTAAACCCCGTGTGCAAGACTTATTTTACATATAGAAAAGGAGCGATGATGTGCGTTCGGGGTTCTAGTTGAAAATGATACCACTGGCAACGTTAATATATTCTTGGACCGATGTGAAATTGCGACATCGGGAGCAATATAGCAGAGAAAGGGCTGAGTGGCGCAGACGCCATGAAGTTCCAGGCCCAAAAGAACGCAGGTGCGTAGATCATGTGCGGCCTACCAGAGTCTCCTCCGGAATTGGTCATCGCTGACCGGGTCGCAGAAAGATTAAGTTCGCGAAGAAAAGTACGAGCCTGTAATGTGGGCTGTGACCTGCTGGTTGAAGGCACTGCCCACATCCTAGAGGCAGGCATGAAGTCAAACTGGCAGATGCAAAGTCAATGCGCGGGCATGCCACAAGATAAGTTTGGACCTAGGGCTCCAATAAAAAGAGTGTAATTGACGTATCGACGTTGCGCATTATTAAGGCCCTTACTCATCCGCCTATTTCCGGTAAGCATGAGCGCTGCTCATCGCCCTTCCCGCATGCGAAGCCCGGCCTGGTGATGGGTTGTTAGTGAGTGCGACATTCTGTGAGTAAACCTTGGGTTTACGTAACGCCTCTTTGTTCGGCAAATGGATTGCAGTCTCAGGTAAACATAATGCCTACCAAAGACTAAACGATTGAGTGAGGTATGCCAATTCGAATTACGGCTATGAGGTAGTAGCGCATTTCATTTTTTTAAAAAGTAATACAGAGAAAAATCAAAGGTTCTGTGTCTCATAGATGTGTTAGGATATACACTTAGGCTATATCGCGTTCATCATCTCCCGAAGAAGACGAAGAAGTAGAGAGGCTATATACATGCCCCTGTGATGTGCATTACGGTCCACATCTTGAGAAAATTTTTCGTACCGGGTGTAGTTTTCCAGCCAAGGGAAATCAACTGTTTAAGATAGATAGATTTGCTTACACCTGTACACTGAAGCTATCTGAAGCTCCGTTATCGTTTTTGGTTTTAGTAGAAGGAGGGGACCGTTGAAAAACTCCAAAGCATCAACTGGGAATATGAGGGCTCGTAACACCATCAATAATTCCAAAATTTCAATGGAAAAGTGTCAATTCAGACAAGCACACTAACTTTGTAAACGACGGTCCGGTGTGGAAGATGACGGACAGTTTTACGGCCAGTTGGACCAATTCGTGCTAAACAGAGAAGAATGCATAAGATTTCAACGCAAATTAGGGGAAATAGAATCCTCTAAAAGTCCCCAGGTCGTTGACTGAAATGCTAATCGTGGTAGGTGGACGACTCTTAAATACGTAGGTAGGCCTTTACAAACTACCGATGGATTTGGGGTAGATAGATCAGTGTGTAAAGAATTTGATAGATACCCTGGATCGTCATTACTTTCAGTATACCATTTCTTTCTCGCTAAATGATGAAAGAAACGATTCCACTCGTCCTGTACAACGACATCAAAGACTGACCCTCGAGAGAATCAACGCCAAAAAAATAATTTAGCACTCACGTATTGAGCTTCAGTTAAAACACTGTCTTCTGTTGAGATCCAGTAGCCGGTCAGAAACTGTTCCACAATCTACATGGAAAACAATAAACTCTTAAAAATAAGTAGAAAAACAAGGCGCTTGCTGGACAAATGGCCTGCCAGCTAAATTCGAGTATCAGTGGTCTTAAAAGTCAGTCGGCGAAGGCTTGAGCTTTGATTACCTCAATTAGACGGTGGCAAAGAATTTGGTCGAATGGGTCACCGGTAGCATATAAATGGCTCATTGAAAGTCTTCTAATGGAATAATTTCAAGTTTATCTTTGATTTTTTTACTTTAGCCGCCTCAAATGTGTCGAGATGTGTTCACAACAAGTATGCCTTGCATGCAGGTTGTTTACCTATCGACGCGGCAGCAAGAATGAAGGTAGGACTTCCCTTCAGATAGTGTGCAGCCATGTCAGGCAACGAGTCTTCCTATCGGAGGACCATTCTGTTTTTGTGAAATCACCTGATCTTCAGTCTTCGCCTAGTTTGACCTGTGTAATTTAATGGGAATTCGGCACAGAGAAGGCGGCCGATAATATCCAACCATTTATATGGGCTCAGTTGGCCTCTGGTGAGCTCATTTGGGCTGTGCACTAAGGGCGGTAGTCGTTCTGTTAGGGGAATCGTTGAGACACGAAAAAACAGTGGAAGAGGTGGTTAGGACGTGAATATTCGGGTAGTGAGTTACTAAACAGCTGTATCGAACTTGTTCAGCCTACAAAGCGTCATGCGGTCGGTTTGAAAGACGTAACCTGATTCTACGGTCGTTGCCTAATGTCGCGATATACGCGGCTACACACGGCGTTGATTGACTAATGCGCATTTCAAACTATTTGCTGTGCTGATTTCCCCATTCCACAGTTGAATGACTCGAGAATCGGTTAGAAAGCTTCGACTAATAGGCTGTTATTTCCAGCGCTCGACTCTTCACCTTTTGCGTCTGGTTAAGCTTGAGGAAGATTGCTCCGATGCACTCCTCAATATGGAATTGTAAATGTTCACTTCCTGATTAAGAATATAGGTAACGTCAAACAGATATTATCCCTTTAGATAAAACACGTATGGGAAATATTGCTCAACATTTGCTCAGACGTGTTCGACGTCAAAACTGGACCCACAACACACAGCTAGGATCACATACCTGATCAAAAACGACTTTGATGTATTCGGGAGACCGTTTGTCCAAATCAGGTTGAGTCCACCAACACACCCGACGGAAGTGGAGAGAGGAGGATTCGTCGGTTTCGTCAAATGGACAGGCGTCAAAGTAATACTCATCGAGTGGAATGGGTATCAGACCACAATTAGCGATTCCTTACGAAGGAAAAGGCGAAAACGAAATATTCATGCCGCTGGATGCAGAAAATGGCTAATGAGGTCTGGTTAACGGGTCTTCACAGATGGATACAACTGTTTGATTTTTGACCTAGGATCTGGCACTTCGTCTTTTTGCGAAATAATGCGCCAACTGTTGAAAGATTATGGTTAAATGAAAAGTGGTACAATCTGTGCCCAACTTTCCTGAAGTGAAATACGACAACTAATGATCCTTTGAATCTAGTAGACATATTACCTGACCTCACAAGTTTATGGTTGTCCCTAAATGCTTTTCACCGATAAGTTATATTAGTAATAACGGTCGGGTACGAGAATATGGATCCCCTATTACGAGTAGTCTTGTCCTAAATTCTGGGGATTAGGGTTGCGATTAAAGAGGTTTGGATTAGAAATGTGGTTAGGGTTCGCGTTAAGGTTATGAAGGCTAGTTTTTTGGCCGGGGCACTCGTGTTCTCTGCTATGCTGATGAAGGCCTACCGTGATGATCGTCATGGAACAGGCATCGCTTTCAGAGCGGACAGGCATCTCCTGAACAGCAGGTGCATGCAGGTCGAATGCGGCTATCTACGACCACAGTCCACGACCTGCTCTTCGCCGAAGGACTGCACGCTCAACACCACGACCAAAGATGACATGTGTAGGAGCACGGACCTCTTCGTCGCCGGGTGCACCAACTTTGGTCTGACCATCAACACAAACAAAACGGTGGTCATGCACCAGCATTCAACCAACACGGAATACAGCACACCTCGAATCAGTGTCAACGACAGCCAACTTAAAACCGTAGACAACCTCGCCTATCTACGAAGCACACTCTCGAACTGCATCAAAATAGACGATGAAGTGGTTTATCGGATCTCTATAGTCAGTCAGGCCTTCGGCCGGCTGCAAGCGTCCATGTGGAATCGCTACGGCCTTCAAGTTAAAGCAAACTGAAGATGTACAAGGCCCTCGTCTTGACGACATTTCTGTATTGAGCTGAGACCTGGACCGTCTGCACCAGCCACGTCAGGAAGCTCAACCACTTCCATCTAAGCTGCCTCCGCAGAATGTTGAAGCTAAGATTGCAGGACAGGATCCCGGACAAAGAAGTCCTGAAAATAACTGGGATCCGCATCATCCACGCCATGCTGAGACATCTGCGACTGCGATGAAAATGTCGCCACGGGTGCTCTATGACAGGGAGAAGAACGTCGCTACGAGGATGCTCTGAAGAACTGTGCAAATCAAGCTGGAGACCTGGAAGTACTCCGTCCAGAACAGACCGACCTGGCGAAGAGCAGTGAAAGGTGGTGCAGTGATCTAAAGAGCAAATCGGATCGCCGCTGCCCAAGCTAAAAAGGAAGCTCGCAAGACTCAGGCCTCCCTGATTCGCAACATTACCACTGAAGCCCACCCAACATGCTCACGCTGTCAACGTACCTTACGCGCGCGCATTGGCCTCGTCGGTCATTTTCGAGTCCAATACACCAACCGCGCGACAACTGCAGCCGCTGCCTCCACGACCACCTGTTCGCCAAACCCCACGCCGACCACGACGGTGCCCACCTTCACCACCGTTGTTCCGAATCCCGTGCCCCATTGCCATCGATCGCCGTCGTGTCCATAATCTCTGCCACAATCACCGCGGCCACGAGCATCCCAACCACCTCTACCACCCCCCTTACCGACCGAAACGTTCCTGACGTCCTGTCGACCGTCAACACCGCCATCATCATCCCCACCTCCAGAGACGTTGACTCAGTCCCAACCTGTACTCATTACGACCGCACACTCATCTCGCGCATCGGCCTGAGCGGCCACTTGCGAATCCATCGTACAGAGGACACCGTCAACTGTACCACACCAGCACACCATCTCTCCTCACCAGCATCTGCAATGCACTTCAACATCACCCATCAACACACAGCGCAAACACGTGGTTGGCGCCACTCACGTAAGTGAGAAGTGTGCTTCTCAGCTCTTTTTCCATGTGGTTCATCCGTTGCATGTGGGATCCGAGCCCGAGACTATCACGGTGCACTAAGCGCCGTGGCTTGAAAGGTTATTAACTGACGCTGCAACTCAGTACACGCAGTCAAGCCAGTTGTCTGTGTGTGTTTGTGTGGAGTAGCCGACTGTGTACTGAGAGTCAGGCTGTAGGGGCTCCTTCTTAATGTGGCCTGAACCAGGTGTGGCGAAACGTCTACGGGGAGGTTCCGGTCGCGCTATCCCCTTGAGCCCCCTCCCACCACCGGTCTTCTTGACTCTGTTCTGATACCGGACCTAGGTGATGGAAGAGAGAGTGGGGTAGATGCTCTGCCAGTCTGCTATCACTGTAAACTAACTCACGCACTAGTCACCTGCCCTGCTCTAACCCTACCGTGGTGCACGGGATGGACATCGTCAAAACCGACGGTCGAACGGTAAGGTTGGGGTTGTGGTTTAAGTTAGAACATGGGAATAAATACCTCTTAAAAGTTAGCGCGAGGTTACTTGCAGTACGGGGGTCCATATTTCCGTGCTGAACAGTAATAAAATACAGCGAAGTTGAAACTCGCGATGCATTGCGGAAAATATCCTGATATGTTCTTGAAAAATGAACGATGGCTTAAATAACGTTGTAATGCCGATTACCGCAGATCAGTATCCGGAAGTAATTCATACGTATGGTATGATTTGGGCATTCCAGCTGAAGATCTGTACTGCCGCCTGAGCAAATGAAACCGGCATAGAAATGCTCAGTGAGGCATTGTATACTTAACGTTGTTTCACACAAAATGCTTGCAGCAAGTGCGTCTCCCAGAGGGGGTGCGTGCATACTGCACTTTCTATACTAGTTTTGTGAAGAAGCAGGCCTTCCTAATATTTTGTCATTGTACGTAAAATACATTCGGTCTTGAAAAGTCTGCACATTCATGTATATTGATATGAATAAACGGCAACGCTATAGAGAAGGACCCCACCCAACTGTCAGTAGATTGTGGATCGTGCCGTACGTAATTTGTGGCAAAGGGAGTTTTATGGGTGCGGCAGCACGCTAGACAGTAGGCTGACAAAATGAAAGAAAACACAAAAATTGCCTGGATTTATGTCGAAAGTCTTATCTTTCGTTTTTGAATGACAACAGAAATGAGAGTAGTAAGTAAACAATAAACGAAAGGTAAATTTCACAAAAAAACGGATTTTGAGTTAAGGTGTGAGATCGTGGTGAGTAATCGTTGTTGGTAGTGGAGTTTCTGCAACAGCCTGCAAATGCATGCCTAGATAAAACCCCGCAAGACACGATCCACAGTCCACTGACAGTTAAGCGGGGTCCTTCTCTATACCGTTGTCGAATAAACTGCGTCTTTCCATGGTTTGCATACTGCGCGCTCCCAATTCTTTTCCAAAACACACGCATTCCTCACTACCTCTGTTCCTCACAAAACACCAGGTTGACAGCAGTATTAATGTACCTACGCAGGCACCAAACCATTTCAAATACTCGACGTCCTTCCTTCAAAACCGAAATAAGGAACAGTAATGCCCTACAAATGAGCAAGGTGTGTTACGTGACTACACCTCGCCTTCAGGAAGTACGATTGAATGCACCTAAGCATACAGCGTGATTGACGCAGGTAGGTGAACAAATGATGAAGTAAAGGTAACATTCAAGCCTGTGTAGAGTAACCTGAGATTCTGTTTCATGCTAGTTCATATGAAAATCTAAATTAAGTAAAGCCTGTTTTAAAAAGTTATGCTTAAAAAGATCAAACCCACTGTAGGTGTCAAAGGAAACCAATCATCTACTAGCTTGTTGGTAAAAGCGCCTCTCTTTGTCAGATAAGCTAAACGTACCATCCAGGGGCGTCGTTGGCATTTGGAAAAGAGTGAATTCGAGGCGTTCCTTGGTGGTTGTAATTCGCATTTGATCAGCGATCATGCATGAGACCTCGCCTACCAGGGACATGGGCGACACATTCACAGAAGTCACGCAACGTGCAGGCAGATTGATTTTGTGCTTCCGTGTCATTTCGCCTCGCTACATTAAGACGAAAAAGGAAGTGGTACTTTGCGGGGAGTGGAAACTTGCTTGGAAGGCATCTTAATTGGAATGCGCTACGTTATTCGTGTAAGAAAAACCGCACACTTTCCATAGATTTGAGAACAACAGACGCCTTCTTCTGTACCTCGGTTGGATTTATTTGAGTGAAGCGGCCAGAGGGCCTTCAGAAGGGGGGCTTGAACAAACTTTTTGAAGATTATGTAAGGTAGGATTCGACGACAACGACTTACGACTATGAAAGTGGATGTGTTTACCCAATGCTGCGTAAACCAGTTACCCACAAGAGTTTTCATAATGCAACAAGTCGAAATGTTATTATTTTCAGAGCGTCTCTTCCTGATGGGTTGTAGTCCAATTTCAAATTGCATACGCTATCGAACATCAGGCAAAAGACTGCGATCAGAAGATCCATAATACTCTTGGCTATGACCCCGACACCCAGTGGGCTATCAGGCGCTAGACCGCATTCGTCTCGTTTATGTGGGAAAAACGACACAAAGTATTAGATGAGCATTACTAAAGCCCCTGTAAATAACCTGTAACTAACTACTGGAAATTGTGCACGCATACAGTTTTCGAAGCCGCCTTTTACCCACAAATTCACTGAAATGCACACACAGGACAAGCATGTCCCCTAACCAAATCGGTGAACGCAGTCCCAGCCTAGTTTATACTCCCGATCGTTACCGACAGGACAACGAACCCGTAGTCCAATTAGAAGACCGTTGGACTTAGAACCGTTCGATAGCCAAAGAACACGAGATAGAGACCTAGTTGCTGCTCACGTGGGTTGGAGTAAGGCTGGCTAGGGACAGCCAATAAGCCAGAAAGTCAAGGATTGGATGAAGGCCCCCAAACAACCGCGACTAGCCAAAGGTGCCTGTCTTACGGGGAAGGTGGTAATAGGGGTTTTATGGGCGGGGCCTATGTATTCATACAGGAATAGCAAAATAAGTATAGATAATCGGTAAGTTCGTTTTTCGGACGGAAAAGTTTTAATGCATTGACATATGGCAACCGAAATTAAGCAGGACAATTGAAAAAAGAACATTAAGAGTCTACAACGACCGCTTATCAACTCTCTGAACTGAGGTCATTATAGATAATGCAACAGACCGTCAACAACAAACGACCCAACCTTGTAAGATGAAACACCAAACCGAAATAATCGTGTTGGGCTAAAACTTACTTAAATAAGTATAGAAGGTATTCCTTGTGCGCCACAGATGCTTGGATGCTTTCACCCGATCCTTACCGCCAGAAATAGCTATTCGAGTCTCCCTTGCTTTTCTTATTGGCTACAACAACCCGCCGTCAGGAAATCAGTGATCCAAATTAAACAACACTACTCTCGTAAGAATCAATACGCAGGAATTAGTAATAGCAAAGTTAGGCCACATATTGCGTTCTTTCCGGCTTAGCATTTGCGCCAGTAACCGGCCACCATGTGTGTCAGTCCGTTCTGATTGGCTCTCATCTCTTCCATTTCCTCTTGCGATTTCGTACGAAGCATCCAACTCGATCTGCCGGTTGATGCTCGATTCATCTGAGTGCATGACCTCGAGGAGCTCTCCGCCTTTTTTTGAAAGGACAGACAGCGACAATGCTAAGAAGAAGGCTATCGAGCCTAACTAAATTACTTGTGTGAAATATTATCATAGAATGGGTAGCCGAAGGATTTTGCACGCCGATGCACGAGACAGCAAGAATTGAAGACAGAGGAACCAGGAAGCTCAAATCTAAATACTTGACGAACCCATCCTTAGACTAAAATGCGTCTGAACTCGTCGGAAGAAACCTCAGGAAGCACCAAATTAACATGGCGTGCAAACCGACAATACTTTACGCACTCAGCTTGTAAACCTTAAGGATAGGATTAGTTATCTGGACAAGGAAGAAGTCGTTTTCAAAATCCCTTATGATGCATGTGGTGCCACTTATTGTGGTCAGACTGGAAAGTCTACCTATAACGCATTCAGGAGCAGTAAAAAGACGGGACAACATGTTCCAAGTAGCCGCGCACACACTGGACACCGGGCACACCTTCTTATGGGACAAAACTCGCACTGTTGCTCTCTGCCCTTTAAGAAAGGCCGAGAGTTCCTCGAGGTCACGCACTCGTGCCCTAAAGTGCAGTATTAGCGTACACAGACGATCCTTCGTTTAAATGGGCCGAAATTGTTTGGCCATTTGGAAAATTTGATGACTTTACTTCAAAGTGATTATCACCGAACGGTCATTTTCAGTTTTGAACATATAAAACACTACCTTTCTTGCGGTCTAGTTCCTGCATATACATAATTTAGAGATCGAAGGAGTAAAAAAAGTTAGCAATTTCAACCAAATATCAGTACATATATGTGTTCCAGTCAAGCGCCCAAACGGAAGACCTGGAGAACACTTCCGTACATTAAAAACGTGTCAGAGCTCGCTGAAAGACACTTGAGGAGACATCAAATACAAGTGGCGAACAAGCCGGCGACCACATTATGCAACCAGCCCGCAGACCCTAACAACAGGGTTAGTTAGTTTGATAAGAAAGAGGTTGTCTACAAGATTCTGTGTGACAATGCACTGCACTGTGGTCAAACAGGAAAGTTGACCTCTACACGCATACACGAACATCAACTGGCCATGAGGAGGTGAGACCATAAATTATTGGCAGAAATTAAAGAACAGTATCGGTTCTGGCACTTTAAAAGTGCTGACTGTTTTGCATATTTGCCACATGTCTGACGGCGACCTGGGGAACCGGTGTCGAACATTTACGGAATACATCTTGTCGGATTTCCTAAGGGACTTATTCTATCTAATTAAAATTCTTGAGATGCCCGTTTCTTAACACATGCACACATATGTCCACTTCGGGTTGGGTATGACTGGCTGACGAAGGTCAACAAGGCAGAAATGACCGTTCCAGTCTCCCTTGTCTTTGTCGGTAATTCTGTTCTGCCTATATCCTGCGCCACTGTGCGGCGGTTGGTTGGACTCGAGAGAGAACCGTAGGCACAACGGGACGAGTGAGTTCCGTAAAGCGATCGGTGAGCGTCCCTTTACCATATATATGCCTTGACAGCTACGGTCAATGAAGGTACGAACGACGACCACCAACGTCTCAACACCGGCCTCCGATGTGGATTGAGTACATTCCGTCACCCCCCCTCCCTCCCCCCCGCCCGTCACAGTTCATGTGTGCATGCGGCTGATGACCACTAAAGCTGATCCACCACTCCCTCATCCGGCGAAAAGACGCTTTAGGACTCCCCCCGCCCCTTCCCCCCCGCCGCCCTGACTTCATATGTAAGAAAACCCGTTTTGACATGACTGTCACCCACCTATAAATACTGTGAGGCGCGATACCACACTCACCTCCGACGATGGAAGCTTGTATGCTTTTGAAACGTCAGGACTGTAAAACTATGGTTCCCGAGATCGCCTTTTCTTCTCAATATATATATGTATATCGCTTATCGACGCCCGAAAAAGAAGAAAAGGCGATTTCATAGACCAAGTTGTATTCATACTGACATTTTAGACACTCTTTCTTTCCCATCAGATAAGCGTGCTGGCTTTTCCCGCTGACCCTAAGTTGCTCAGCCTTGCCGCCTGCCTCGTACAAGAACCGTGCTAGGCACACGCTCATTGGCCTGCCTGTTGGCTGGTCCTGGCCTCTCCGATGGCCACATTGGCGGTCTCCGTTACTTACGTCACCTTCGCAGCAGTCGTGGTTGCCACTAAGTTAGCGTGCATGTCGGCCTCCTTCTAGCCAGACGGCGAGCTGATCAGTCGTTGCTGCTTTCGGCCTCACGGGTGCGTCGGTGAGGTAGTATGCAATGCCGCCCGCGTGACATCCTTTCGGCACTTCCTCTTTACTCTGCGTACGTCGGCTGTCAACCTCGCGCGACTTTTTCGCCCGTTCTATTGGCCTGACTGCACTGACTCAAACTTTGTGCTGAGCACGTGGTAGGCGAGATGGAGGTCCACGGCTCAGCTAAGTGTGCCAGTCGAGAAACAACTATCCAGCATCAGTTTGGCCGCTTTATCATTGGATCGGCTGATTACCCTCGCTTTATCAAGGGTAAAATTGTGATTTTGCTGTAGTGTACAGTCACAGACCAAGCTGGTCCTCGTGAAATCGTGTACCGAAACGTTTGTCCGTTTCATCAATATACCTTGCGTCAAAATCTTGGCATGGTATGCTGTGGACGACCGCCGATTGTTCTGTCATTGGTAGTGGGTCTTTGAGCTTCATGAGATTGTTGGTGCCGGTTTATGAGCCACACCAATACCGCAAGGTTTCAGTATTCTTGCCTCTGAAATGTTCTTCACATAAGGGATCGAGAATGAAAACTTTGGCTTTTCCTTGCTCAACTTCACAGAGTGGGGCTTTCTGAGACACTTGAGCATGAAAGATTTCGGATAAGCGTTGGCCTCAAATGGGGTACATAAGTACTTCATCTTTTTCTACCTCCCATTGTCGTCACTACTGTGCCTTTAAGCGCGTTGGAGGAGGGTTCTGACAAAATTGCGTTTGTAACCGACGGGGCGATTGCGTCTGAAGTTGTGGATGCGCTTAGTGTTGACTACCTCACGTTAGACTGCCGCATTTATTTTCCCGTCTGCCAGTTTTTTAACTTGTACGTCAAGGAAGGGCAAATGATTGTTTAACTCATCCTCAATGGTAAACTGTAAGTCGGGGAAGGTTGAATCTAACGGTGCCTTGAAAGTCCGCCAATGGTCGGCATCAAAGAGGCCAGAACCAGTCAACAGACAGGCCAGAGCACGTGCATCAAGGCAGGCGGCAAGGCTGAACAAATCAGGGCCATCAGAAGAAGTCAGCACACTTCTCTAGTGAAGGGAACGAGCATAATTCTGGAACGTCAGTATGAATACAACTTGGTCTAGGAAATCGCCTTTTCTCCTTCTTCGGGGAGACGATAAACCCGATAAGATATTTCGACCTCGAATCTTCATGCATAGATATGTATCATACTGCCAAGGATTTCCATGCCCCGATAAGGAACCAAGATGCGTTCAAAACATCTAACTCTGAGCTACGTGTTCTTTACGAAATCTTCTCGTGTTCATCAGTGCCCTATTTTCCTCAGTAGAAGCACCACATATTTTACTTTAGATCTTTTGATTACTATTCTTTAAGCCGACACGGCCTAACCAATGAATTGTCGATCAATAACCACTGCATTAAGCGGCTGGTGAGCTTGAAAAAAACTGCATTGCTCGAGACGGCCCGTCAAGTCGGGAAGAGAAGGGTTTGCTCCGTGCTGTTAAGAGACGTACAGACTAACAGATGAGTTTCGCTGGGTCGACTAGGGGGTTAGAGACACTTTACCGGCTTGGGGTAACTGTAATGATTGGTAGTAATGTTCTTTGATCTTGCTTGCTGACGTGAAACTACTCGGGCTTTTGCATGAGGTCATATCTCAAGCACAGCGGTAGAACCACCAGAGCTCGGACAGCAATTGTCAAGCCATTAAGCAGGCTAACAGTGGGGATACTGAACATGAACTCAAAGGAGGCGGCGGCCTAGGATACACGCAAAAGAACAAATCTTTTAGAGTGGACCTTTTTGCACATTCCTCCTTAGTCGACTGGACGATGCATACGAGTGCCTTGGAGGCAATTTTTGGAAGTTTCATGCCCAACTTTTTAGTACTACTGACGAAGGGAATGGCGGTTTATGGAGGCGGCGAATGGAAGTTTCGTCATTGAAGGGTGGAAATGAGGCCTCTGTGACGCCGAATATCTACGATAGGACCACCGAAGTTGCGTAAACAATGTACACAGACGCTTGCGTGCGCTAAATTGGGGACATTCGCTTGGGGTGAAGTTGGGTAAGGGGGGACTGAAATGGAAACCACTGAGGCCACCCCGAAGAGGACAGGAAAAGCATGGTTCATGGGAGGCGGCAGGGGTCATATATCGCAGTGCGCTTAACAACGTTTCGGCTTTTCAAGGAAAACACGACAAGAGTCCCCCACACGAATCTGTGGTGGGGGAGGAACAGGTGTGCGCACTTGGCCTGGGAATAGGGCGGGGAGGGTGGCAGGATTTCAAATCGTCGCATCTCCAGATATGGGCTCGCATGATGACTCGGTTGCTCAAACTGCATCCACCTGAATGCGCTTGCTGGGTGATGTGATAGCGGGACAGTGGTGGTAGGAAGCACGATATTACTGAAGTAATTACTTGGCCCTGAAATAACGCTTTGGCGCGAATCTCCGAGTTAGCCGATGCCTAAGACGAAACAATTTGTTTAAGGTACGTGTAATATCAATTCAAAAACAGTAGTTGCTATAACCACTAACTACGCCAACTTAGGACCTCAAAGATTCTAATAACATTGACGTAATTAAATTTCGTGACCTCTTATGTAATTGCACACGGTCGTTGCGTATTTAGATTTTTGTATGTTTTGCCGTCTTTGCCTTGTTCAAAATTCTTCCGGGAAAACAATGCTTCAACCTACTAATATTTTAAATCCGATTTACGGTAATTGTCTTTTTTTAAAAACCGCTGGTTCATGAGGCGGACAGTTAGAGGTGAGATGTCAGTGGACCTAGACGGCAACAAAGTAGCCGAACAGATAAAATTAAACATAAATCAGCAACAGATATTAGCTACTTTAGAGAAGTCAGCTTTTTAAATGGGGCCAGTCGTAGTAATCTAAGCAACTACCAACAAGCGCAAAAAGTTGGAAAACTAAAGAGGAAATGTGACGGCGAGCATACCAAGTAGGATTCGATTTCAACATCAGAAGGCAAATTCTGCCGCCGTCCATACTTTCGAACTTTTTCGATATTCGCGGCAACTGTCGCTGCAAGGGCTAAAACAGACATTTGGGTCGGCTTAATTCAAGCAGAAGTTTAAAATAACTCCAGCCCTGCTCACAGCCTCGGACTGCAAAATCGAAAAGCTCACTTTGTTCGCTGATGCTCTGCAGCGTGACGGACTTTGCATGCTCCTGTAACTGTGCCCTCAGTTCTGGCGAGCAGGTCAAAAACATACTGCAGATGGCATATAACTTCCAGACTGTGTTCAACGAATCTCTACACAGAGCGAGAGAGAGAAATGGAAAAAATGATTGGAAACAGGGAATGCAGTTATAAAATGCCTCAATGAGTATTATATGTTTGAAGTTGTTGCGTGCGCTCTGAATTATTTAATGATTTCCAGAACTCTTGGGGTTGACAAATCAACGCAACGAACCGTCAGAATACGCCTATGTGAATTTGAAATTTCTCCTTTGCATCATGTTAAAATAACGGAAATCGAACTTACGGGTTTTCGCTATCGTTCTTGTTAGACTGTTTCACCAGCTGGCAGAAGACTTCGTCTTCTAGGCTGGGGTAACGTCTCGCCAACTACAAAGTAATTAATTATGATGAAACTCAAAACATAAGATTTCTGACATTTTCAGTAGTAGGCCTGCTGCGGCCCACGTATTCAAAATTTTCACGAATTCAATCCAAGGGGTTTACCTTGAGGATTTTCTGAACATGTGCTACTGGAGTCTTCGTTGTCGGTCGGTCCTGACATATTTCTAGGATGGCTAAGGGAGAGAAAGGAATTGGCTTTATTTTGAAATCATAAGTTCAAAATTTTCATCAAAAATGGGCTCCATTCACTATGGATAGTAAATAAGTTAATAGATTATTCCCGGGTCAAAAAATTAACACAAAAGGGACGATTATTATGGGGACAGTTCGAGTCCTAGATTCTGTATTTCTATCTCTTCACACGTAAGATAGCGCGCCTGGAATGGCAATACAGAAGCTCGGAAAGTCGATGTCTAACAAGACATAAGTCGGAAGCTGCGGCGCATCGGGCGGGAAGATTTTGCAGAAATAAGATCGGAATGCAAGGGATGGGCAACATAATCTATAATCCGACCAGCAAATTGCTCGACCATATTGAAACAAGAAGCTCAGTGAATCCTAACAGAATTTACAAAACAGTATGAAACTACCAGTTCGCTAAAGGAAAGATACCGCATTTACTACCACCATACTCCATAAATAGTGTAAGTAACGCGTTTATAAGGGTAGTTTGGTATAAATGCTTTATTGTCGACAGGTGACGGACAGCACCGACAGAATCCACCATTGTCCCGCCACTGGCGCGTGTATTGTGGCAACAGTGGAACAGTCTTGGATCGCATCCACCCACCGCGTTCGAAGGACAAGAAGAAGAAGAAGCCAAGACAACTGAAGATGCCTGCGGGCGCCGTTGCTGACAGCATCAAACGGCTCGTCTACGCGGGCCACGTGCGGCCTGCCTCCTGACGCTATATGAGTCGGTCTCTAGTGGGGACAGTGCCGCAAAGGCCCCATCCAACATGAGTCGTAGTAACTAGGCCTTACGAGGGTCGAGGTATATCGTTGATTGGCAACGCTCCAAGCCACAACTGCAAGCATGTGGTGATTAGTCAAAAGACACGTTTGGCAGGCGATAGTGACGAAAATAACGACCTTACTAGAGTCAGATCAGGCTTACTCTCCCTCTCTGTCCAAGCTAAGCCAGCTGGGTATAAATACACCTAATTACTAAAAAAGGATGTGCCCAAATTGGGCCTCATAACACTCAAGACATGCTGAAATATACTGAAATGCTTTACGACAGGTGAATTACATTCGAAAATTCGGGAGGCTGCATCAACAATTTCCGTGTCACTGTGTTTGAGCAGGGAGCCATATTTCAAGGGCTGGTTCTGCCATGAAAGCTGCTTGCCGAAGTGTTTCCTAAAAAGGGAGAAGGAGGCAGCTGGATTCATACTCGAAACGGTGGACACTGTAGTAAAAGACTACTGAGTTGAACCCACTTACCTTTCCTTAAAGTACTGCTTTGCGTAGGGAACAAGGCACTCCACGGCGTCTGTGTGACTGGACAAGTACGAAACCACGGACATTGAGTCCGAGAGGTACTCGTCGTAAGTTTTTTCCCTCTTGCGGGCACCTAGAGTTAGGGCAGCATAAATAAAATTGGTTTCTAGTGGACGGATATTTTAAGGGAATTATCTTATTTCAAAATCACAGGTCTCTCAAAATAAAACAAGGTGCCAGATAAAAGTTCACGCACCGTTGAATAAAATCCCATCCTACCGTGTACTGGGACATTGGACTATCGCATGAAAGGTGGAGTTATTAGTGCCCTTTGCGCTCATCGTCGATAAGCACAAAGGACGGCAGTGGATTCGCTTAGAGATTTCTAAGAGATGAAAACTTTGCGGTCGCGCATTCCGAACAAGCCGTGTTACTGAATACTGTTCACGCACCCGCAGTGGGCAAAAATCATGACTAGCTTAGCCTACGTTGACAAAGACACTAGAAACTAAGTAGGTTCGGACCTCCATCCAGCATTCAAAGCAAGAAGTCTGGAGCTAAAATTAAGATGTACTATCACAATTTGTAGCCGAGATAAAGGTTGTTTGCAACTTGTAGTTTATCAGTATGCAAGCTGTTACACATCTGTGCAAGGCGAGACTTGCTAAAACTAAGCATACATACTAATGGTATCGAATTTTCTCGGAGAAAGGTCTTGACTCGCAGTTATCATCATCATATAATGTCACGGAAAATTGCTCCATCAATATAAGGCAGTATTCGATAGAAGGAGCGAAGCCTCAGACTAGTGTGTTAAAACTTCGGTTGGTGTTTAAGGACCAAAATTGTGAGCAGTAGACAGTGTAATCCACACCCTCCCGAACTTTTGTGTTGAGACTTCTAACATTTCAATTTTATGACGACCCTTAGCCACAACTTCGTTGACAGGCTCTTCTGGCTAACATGTGGTGCAATTACGGGAATTAATTGGGGAAATCCAGTCAGGAAATTAAAGCAGAACTCCGGTCAATAAAATATTAAATTTCCAGGAGTTCATATAGGAGTAAGTGGCCCTAAATTTCCCAGGAAGGTTCCTTCTCTTATACTTACAACCAAAAGTGTTGAGGTAACCTTTAAAATGAAATAATCCAGTAAACTTATTGAATATCTGGAAGTGGAAGTTAACATGCAACTATCTAATCCAAGCTTATTGCTTTTATAGTGAAATGAAATCACATAGCAACCCAGATTCGAGAAGGAAAGCTCCGAGGGAAAATCAAAAGTCTTCGCAGCTCATGTCGCTTACTTAGTGTGTAGGACTTTCGCTGCGAGTTTTCGCTCTTTATCTAAAATAGTACAAAACGAATTATGCTAAATTGCAAGATCGGTATTATCATACAGTTAGTTAGATCTCCCAGAAAACAGATATTGCGTGGGCATTAGGCGCGCGTGAAAGAAGTGCAAACACATTGTAGAAGATAAAAAAGGACTCACCCTGTGCTCAGCAACGAATATATCGACGAGACGTTTCATGTCCGTGGCCTAGGAAGAAAAAAGGGAAATAACGCGGAAACCAGGCATTCGGGATAAGGCCTAGACACGTGAGTAAGTAGTGAACTGAAAACCTTTGACAAGCCGCGTTAAGACTAGGTGCCGACAGACTGCAAATATTCCTCTATCACATGAACAAGAAGACCTGCTGTACCGACCCACTACTCTCAGTGTTTGGCACTATTTACCGTTCTTTTTACCACTGTTGAGTATGCCCTCCCTGCCCAAGAGTCGATCAGTCGGCTGCATATTTCATATCCTGCACGGTCAGTGTTGACGGATATAAGCAGTCCGCAAAGGAACCGAAGGGCGAACCCACTGTCTGACATGGAATGTAAGACAGCGGTCAACAACGCAAAGCAGCAGGCCAGGAGCTATTGACGCAGCTAACGGGTGGGTGAAACTGTCTGTCTGGTTATCTTGCACGGGCGCATTCCGTTGGAGTCACTGAGCACTAATTCACATTTCAAATTCACCGACCACATTCCAAAACTTCCCAACAGAAACTATCATGCGAATGACACTGGTTTCTGTCCTACATAAAAGAACATCTCGTAAATCCAACCAGTAAATACCTCAGGAACCTGTGTAGTCTAACGTTTTTGATGGGACAGTAGTCTTTAAGGTGCAGCACAGTATTTCACACAAAAAGGATAAACATACATAGTGGCAATACATTTCATACGACCGTCCAGACGTGTCTACAATTGTTAGGTGGTTGGAATCTTGAGAATCCCGAATGCCTTTGACGTTGATAAGAAGTTTCTGACCAGCCGTTTGTCGAGTGGGCATGTTCACAGGCCGTTGGAGATATTTCACGTCACAGCGAGCCAGCTCAGCTAATGGCACTTCTGAGATTACCTCCAGAGCCCGTTCGTTCTTCTTCTGCCGCACAAACCGCACAGCATTCTGTCCGACCACGGCCCAGTGACAAACACGCGATTTCTTAGGCCCATCCATCAGCTAGAAGAAAGTTTTATATACCAATATTTCAGGAGGAGAAGGAAGTAATTTAATAGAGATATATAAGCAGACAAAGTATGGCTTTTGGATATAAGAGGAGAGCATGTTTAGGTAAACGACCTCACTGTATGCCTGTCAAACAGTAAGTTGTCAAACGTACTAAGAGACCTATGGGATCCCCGAGAGCGAAGTAAGCTTATGCCTATGCACTAGAAGCGTGCATGCGAACAACTGACAAATACTGCTGCCAATAATGCCCAGCTACGCTTCCGAAGATATAGTATAAATGGACAAAAAGTGTAAGTAGAGCCGCCTGATGTATTCGACAGTTAGGTAGTTGACATTCCGCAGTTTGTGTATAACGGACTACTTGGTAACGAGAGCTAAATCCTGGAAGATTGACACTAAATTGCTTCACAGAAAAGCGGGGGCGCTGTCAAACAAGCTCATGGATGACCTTACGTTACTCTGCTTCACTGGTATGGACTTGTAAAAAGCGTAATATCAAAAGAACGTTTATATCTTCCCCGTCTTTGGGTAACAGGCGAACCACTGTCCTAATATATCAAACTTATTACCGTAGCAAAAAGTGGCTTCTCTATCTGTTGGGGTTGTTGCCTGGCCTATGCAATTCAAGGTCGCCTTCAGAGCCCTATCCTGATTTCAGGATTGGAATTAATATTTCGGGTTAGCCATAGAGTTCTGCGTATAATGTACTTTAGAAGATCCCAGTGTAACGAGCACTAAATGATGAAATTTTCGATAAACGAATATGAGCAAATTTGAGTTCGTAAACTGAATCAGCTTGATCTCCGAGAGATATTTAACCAAAAGATTTTTCCGCAAATAGAAGAACAACATGATTGAACACATTCGAACAACGGAGAGTAATTCACCTTAGTCGTAGCTCAAGCGAACTTACTTCGATGGAATAAAAGCGGCCGAAGTAGAATGGACACTTTCTGGCGGCATCGATGACCATGCGTTTTGTAACTGACGGCAGCAGGAGGAGCTGATTGACCGAACTGTTTAGAGTAATTTCGCCTACAAAATTCAGAGCATCAACAAAGAAATAAATTTAACGGTAACTTGCATTGCTACTAAATTTTCATAAATAACCAACTGGCATACAATAAAACTGAAACTTCGGATACCATAATTCTGGTACTCACCTATTGTTTCGCGCAGACTTCGCACGTCTGCCGGTCTCAAACGGGCAGTAACATTTTCAAGCACATCGCCGACGATTTGGCAGAAGACTAAGTCCAGAACCCGTTTGGGGGCAAGTTTCTCCAACGGAGTGATAAGCTATGGCGAACAGAGGTGGACAGTAGTTGAAATCAAATGTTCGTATGTTTAAATTTCCTAATAGGCAGAATTCTAGACATAAAGTTAAAAAAACGCTTTGATACTTCCCAGGGCGTATTTATACTGATATTTGGAAAGCTTAAGCCGGGGAACAGTGAGATTTAGCATGAGACATTGCCATTAATACTTTTCCTATTACCCCGACATTCTTTTGGAAGGAATCGATTTTAATTTGACTTAACGGAGTCATCTCTGGATGCATCACAGTATCATATATGTGCCAACCTGGTTAGCTATTAACACTGCTTAGATCGGTTGAAGGAGATTTTTAAGGGTGATTTTATGCAAGTTTAGATTCCAACTAACAACATGCAGGCATATTAATAGATATAAACGTGAAAACATACTTCCTTTCGAACTCGAAGCGACCACCGAGAATGTTTGTAGGAGAGGTATCGCATCTCGTGCGGAGGGTAGCCATTAACGCTGCCCATAGGTGCAGTCCCAAGCCCCACTGGAGGACCGACAGCGCCCTGATCGGTATCGGCGAATCCTAGATCTAGTTCACCGTCAGCCAATCCCGGGACGGGGGTTACGCTCGGCAGTTGCGCCTTTGAGGGCTTCTTGAAACTCCGAGTTCGACGGGAGGCCGAGCGCACTGCCCGTGGACGTGGCGGGTCGAACCTCTTGGCAGCCATTTTTCGGACGGCTTGTAACCAAGCAGTTTCGTTAGAAGCGGAATTTACGTGGTTCCTTCGCATGTTCTACGGATTGAGACGCATGAACATAGAGAGTATATAATGAAGATGACGGGAAGTGTGCAAAACGCAGTGAACTATCGAGTGCATTCGAGCATTTTATGAATACTTACCAAATAAAGCATGTGTTTTAATAGAGCCTTTAATGGATTGGACAGATCTCATTTGAAGAAAGTGGTAGAGCGTAGGATTTAATAACGCTCGATGACCAAAAGCGTAGGTTTGAGGCTCAGGTGCGGCAAAGCCTGCATTTCTATAAGGATGGCTGACGACGGTCGATAAGGCAGAAATGGCCATCTTCTCCCCATTGTTTCTGCCGGCACTCATTTCAGCAGGCACAATTTTTTCTTCAAGTCTGCAAAATGCAGTCCGTTTGAAACGAACGTACTGTTTTGATTGGTCATGACAAGACCTATTGCGTAAACCATATTTCAAGATATCGCTCCGATGGGGGTGGAAAAGACGATGGTGTAGCAAGAGCATAATATGGTCTGGAGTGTTTATTCTCGAGACGGTGGTGACGAGGATAGGGGGTTAGATGCAGTAATCTCACCCTCCTCTAAAATTAATTAATTCGATACTAATCTTGGGGATCTGGGGTGAATCAGAGTTGCGTGGAAAAAAACACAAACTCTTGAAAGCGTGGTATCGACGATGTGCGACAGTTACAATCTCGATCAAGCGCTGCTTATTTATTTGAGCTCGTTAATCCCTCTCAGAATTGCCACGGCGCTGTATGAACGGACCTCATGAAAACACATGCCTTTCTTCACGCAAAAGCTGGCTGTGATTGGGTGTAATTCCTTGCCCCGAAGTCTGACCGTATATCCGCACAAGTGAACTACTTTCCATTGATAAAGATAGTAGCCGAACGCTTAAGGAGTTCTTATGTTGCTCCGTTTACGTAAATAGTTATATAGATTTTCGTGACCCTCGGAGTGATGACGCAGAGTGGAACGTAAAGTGCACAGCCGAGAATCAAGTCCGATTTAATTAATCAACCGTGAAGTTTATAGTTAGCTACATGGCCCTAAACTTCACTTCTGTTTACTAAAGCCGGGCCTGATGACGTGTTGCGCACCCCAAGTCTCACTGTGCGCTGTTGCTCACCGAATCACAATTACTTAAATATAACTATCTACGCAAACGAAATAAGTAGTACAGCAAAACCGTTATTAAACAATCTGTCATTACCTTTACCAAGGGGAACTAGTTCACTTGTGAGCGAATAAGGGCAGACTTCGAGGGCAAGGAATTAGTCGGCAGACTGATAAGGACTGTCGCTCCAGCCCTTGCTCACGAGTCGCCATAAGCCTAGAAAACATGTGTGCACAAAGGGCTTTCATCTGGAGCTTGTTTCCCTCGTAGTCAAACACGTATTTAATCACGATATATTTTTCGAGGCTTGTTCCTGATGACTCGTATGTTCCTTTTACCGATTTTCGGAGCTCTCTGTATTTAGTTTAAATTAATGGAGGTGGATGGGTAGGAGACAGCACAGAGAGATGAGACTGCTGTTTCTCCTAGATTGAATACCTATGGGGCCACTGAGATGTCTTCACTGCGTTATGGCAGAGAGGGACAAGGAAAACGTTTCTTACTCAATCCAGATGACCCATTTCATCAATACCTTCCACAGAAATAAGTCAAGGACAAAAAGCGTGGATAGGGTGGGGAAGGGGACTGTCTCACCGTTGTTTCCTGAACGCCGTGAATCGAGGAAGCAAGAGTGCCACCAACCCTCCGAGACCAGGTACCATCAGCAACGTAGTCATCCTCTGGCATGCTTGTGCCCCACTTAATCACGTTTCTAAAAAAAGAAAAGATGTTTCGCCATAGAAAAAGTACTACTCATTCATACGGTCAAAATATTGATCCTGAAATAGACGAGATGAGAGGCATCAAACGGCATACTTCATGATTAATTGAAACTTGAGGTAGCGTAAGGAAATGCACTTTTGCACAAGTTGTCTCATTAAAATAACCTGGAAGAAGAGGAACTCCTGCCATGTCGCTGATGTTGTCGGTCAAGAGTTGGATATCGCATTTGCATATTTCGTTTGGAGACGCGTCTAGAGATTGCAGAGCATACATAAAGGAAATAAGTAATGTAAAAAGGCGTCGGTTCAAGCAACAAAAGTAAGAATACTTGAAATTACCATAGCGTGCAACACGTAGTTATATTTGCCACACCAGGCATATTCTGAATTTTGCCCCTCAGGCTCTTACGCAACTGAGAGCAGGAAAACCGCGACGAATAAGTAAAAAAGACAATAAATTTCAATTATGTGACAGCAAATAGATATAGGTAGTCCAGATTCACAGAGCAAAATGGACGTTTCTGTTGACTGGAAATAAGTGCAGATTGATGATAAATGCCAGAAGGCCATTTCCAGAATGTAGATGAGAACACGGATATATAATCAACAGAACAACGACATTATTCTCCTGATGTATTGGATTCACTCCCTGACCCTTAGCAGAGACAACAACAGAGGTTGAAGCACAAGGATGCACTTGTGACGCACTAACACACCTTCTAGGATTAGCGGGCCCCGCATTCGTCACAGTGTTCGTACATTGATCGTTCGAAATCTCTGTTTGCTGCCGTTTCTGATGACGGGTTCGAGAGTGAATATGAGACATCAGGCCAAAAAGGCTACTGGTCCAGTAACTGTATCTCCTTCTCAAGAGAAAGAACGGCCACTCCAGTCCTCTGTGTTTGTGCCTACAACTCCTTTATATTATTGATCAACTGTCGTTAAATGACCGCTTGTGGAGGCTTCAGGCTGGAGCTTCAAAGAAAAGTAAAAAGGATCCCTTCCATTTAGCAATCCTTAATGATCTAGAGCATTCCTGATCGAAACCAGCGGGACGCGGAATCATGGCTTAGCGGTAAAACGTTTGGTTTAATGGTAAAGGGCAAAACGCATTGGTTTCAAAGCCGGGATCTTCGTTGGTTGGGGTTCTGGTATCTTGGCTTAACCATATTAAATGAGTCAGAAATGAGCATTCCGACTTCCCTTGTCTTTGTCTCTAATAATTTTGGTACAACTAGGTCTCCGCAGTTGCCTAGACGCCGTTTCTTAGCAGAATGAATGCCTCTCTATTTTACATGCTGACAAACAGTTTGACCTAACGCAGTATATCTCACGATCCGCCCAGACAGTAAACACTCACAGGGATTTGTAAGCTTCACTGTCACGCCGTGTCCCCTCGAAAGGTGGCCCAAGATCCAGGGGCTCTGGGTCCATCGCAGTAATGAGGAAGTTTTGATCGTGGCCAAGGCCTGCGAGAAGGGGCCAATCTTGCGGAATCTCGGTTGAGCTAAGCATGTCCAGTACAAAGCAATGACCACCGGGCTCAATGACTGACTGGTTCTTGTACAAGCTCACCGTCCACCCTCTGCCCAGTCGTGCCATCCTTGCCCTAGATGGGAGAGAGGTAAAGCATAATGTAAAAAAACAAGATATTGACATTATTTACAGGAATGTCATAATGCTCTTAAAGAGAAATAAACCAGAACAATCAGCACGACAACAACCATTTAGTAATTAAAAAGCGATTGGGTGAGAACAGTATTGCTTTGTATAGTATATGTTCCAACCTGTTTTTCGGCCTTCCAGTTGCTGCAAAAATTGGAACATATTCGGCACAACTATTTTTATTAACCATGAGGCATAGAAGTAACTAATGCGACTGAGACGTCCGTTCTCAGACTGCGCTGTTGTTATTCAGGAAGAAAACCATGGTGCGGCCGCAAACACTTTTTTTACTCAGAAAGGGTTAATGAGGACTTGGAGAAAAATTATCATGCGGCCACCGAAGTCACGTGCCAAGCTATACGCAATCGCCTGTACTTAAATTCAATCAAAGACGATTCTGCAAGTTTCGCTGACACAAGAATGGTTTCGAATTTGGGGACTTGCTTAAAGAACCATCAAAAGTGCAAGTCCTGATGTGTTTTTAAAAGGTTTTCCAGGATCTGTTCTTGCAGTGAACAGGGCATATGAGTCGAATGAACCAATATAGCCAATTTAACAAAATTTGGTGGAAACCGACTGGACATCTTCTTGAAGGAAAAGAATAACCGCACAATTACAAAAGAAAGTGGAAGCGCGAGATGATCTTTTCCCTGACCATTGTAACACGCTCGGAAAGGGACGGAAAAAGGTCAGGTTTTCAAACATGTCTATCGCGAATATTCGAATTGATGGACATATTTCTCAAAACCTTTAGGTGACTATCCAATGAATTCGAATATAATGCTCTGAACAGACCTTGCAACATGTATCAATTGACGTAGATCGATTAAAATGGGCGATATCAATGGGTACGGGCAAAAAAGGATGAGAGGAATGAACTGGGAACCCGGATCTAGTTGGTTATCGAGCACTGGAACTATAGCTTCTACCAATTAGGCAAACAACTTCGTCTCTCCAAAGAACTTGCGACTGCCAAAGGTCAGGCGTGAGTCGCGCTCGACTATCAACCAAAAGACCGCTCCAAGTAACGACGAAGTGTGCTGCAGTGGTACAAAACCCAATATAAACATGCTCAGACATGATGGTCTCGGCAAACAGTAGCAGACTTCCAAGTTGACTAGATGTGCCAAGTTCTACAGTCTAGGATTGAATGCTACTGCATAGTAAAGTGTTAAAAAAGCAATGCATGATCAGCAGAAGTTGACAGGAAGACGGTAGGAAAGGTTGCAAGGTCCATAAAGGCCCCGGATTTCTCAACACGCGCAAAAGACCATTAGCAGTCACATTTTTTGAAGTTGTGAAGTAGTATACTCTTGGATAAAATTTTGCTCTTAGAAGCCCCAAGAAAAAAAGCACCCCCAAAACTCATCAAGAATTTGAATTCCCGACCGCTAGTACTTTTAATCGGTAACTGGACGAATTATTGTTGCGGAGATACCTTTCGAAATGTTACCACTTTACCAGAATCAAGCAATGTTTCATTGTGAGAAACCCCGTTAGTGTCTTGGACGGTAATTAATATTTCCACTGGTGTGTATAAACTAGTAAATCGAAAGGGGAATGCCTTCATTCTTAAACTAGAGCAGTCAAACCTGGCTTGGGTGATACAAAGTCACACCAGTCAACAGGATTAGGGCGTTTGGAAGGCAACTTGCACAGCGAAAGCATGGTTACGTAATGCTGGATTTTGTCCCTCCATTCGGATAAAAGCTGAATGATTTATTAAATAACTGTTTCTGTCTGTCATAGGTTAAACATGAAAACCCCGGAATTGTATTTGGAGAGGTCAGAGGTGACAGAGGAAATTCAGTTACGACAATGGCGGGTCCCGAAGACACTTGCCTCCTTCCGGGCCCAGATACCACTCGAAGAAATGCAACAGTAAAAGATTCCGACAACAGAAAGAGCGTGCAACCGCCGACCGCCTACTTTAGACGATGAAAACACGAATTTGACGACTATGGACAAACAAACTAATTATTAGACTGAATTATGCCAAGACAAACAATGAACCACCTATAAAGATGGCACGACCTCATACGTTTATTAAAGTATTTGTGTTTTAAAGTGAATATAGTGTTTCTGGGTTCACAAAAATCCTACATAATCGGAAAGCCTAATGAAATAAACATTTTCTGAGTAACCCAACGATCAATATCAAACTCTGACGCCACAGACTAAGTCATCTATTCGGTTTCTTGCATACCAAGAAAAGATGAGCGCATGCAAATACTGTAGAATCGAGGGCATACTAGTGCTTTTAAGCGTTTATTTGCAATCAATAAGTTGTTATTTGATTCGTTTTTCGAGTATAATCAGCAACCAAAAAGTGCACGCGCATAGGGGAAAGGTTTTCAACGAAGATCTTTGCGAATAGAATGGTCCAACCTTCGCCTGCTTCCTAACAGAGGGTAAGAATTAAAATGAAAGCCTGCGTGAAGTATGGGCAATCAAGTTATGAAGAGCATGTACGACATCGGCGAAGACTAGAAAACGCGCAGCAGACAAACCGTTGAAACCACCAATTATTGCGACAACCGACGAGAAGCGAAATTACATTGGCCACAACAGGTCGGATGTCCCGTGCTGCACCTACAATCGTTCTTGGCGATCTACACGCCATGCGGGATGTGAGACCGAATTACGGGTCTTATAATGCGAACTACGTACAAAAGTCTTCACTCTATAACAATTAGCAACCGATTTCACTACCTGGAAAAGTCGGAACGAAGTCAGGCCTCTCCTGCTGAGCGTATTCACTTATTTTTATTGACAACAGCCCTTTTAGGGAATATGCGTAATCGAGAGGCGATGTAGACTTTACTGAATGGACATGCACAACATAATACGGGCATCGACTTACTTCAAGCTAATTGCCTGATTTGCCAGTTCGTCAGCCCTGCTGAAGCAAAGGGTGTGAATATTTGCCGTTGTACCTGATAATAAACAAAACCCAGATAAAATGTGAGTTCGATAACAAATTACGAGTCATTAACGTGTTCTTGGTAGGGTGTGCATGGGAGAAAAGGTAAAAACAACTTTAACTAGACTTGGAAAAACGTAAATACGGTTCTAGACAAACGAAGGCTCCAGCACTCTTAAATCGATCTAGGAAGATTTTTAATCAACTGAAATGTTGCCTAGCAGGAGATAACGCTATGTATATGCTTGGTCAGCAAGAATGAAAGACTGACAATAAAGGCAAACCCAATATTTTCCGTCATCCATAAGCAGAACTACTTCACCATTCGACTAGCGTAACTTTAAAACTCGAGGAATGTTCCTCTACAGTCTACAAATCTCGATCGACGCAGAACATTTTACATAATCATAAGCAGTCGATTTTTATCGAAAAGGTATTTGGGGCAGAAAGTTCTTAAAAAATCATATCTTAAAGTAACTGTACATATGGTCCAGTTACATGTACATATATGTCATGCGCCCCCTAAAAACACCCCAATTTTAAGAACTTTTATGACAAAAGGTTTCTGTAATACGAAAATTAGGAGGGTTGCAAATTTACATATGGGATTAAGGAGTCTCAAAAATTTTACTTCCGATGCAAGTGCTTGGTAGAACTTTTGTATAATCGATCTTCATTCAAAAAACTCTTAATGAGTTTGGGTCGGATCTCCTTTCGTAGCCGTACCTGCAGATAACAGGCTCCAGTCTAACCCCAACCTTAACCCCCTAACGAAAACTCCTCACCCCTAACCCTAACCCCTAACATTAACCCCTAACCCGAACCTCTAACCCCAAACTTCAACCCCTAACCCCAACCCCTAATCCTAAACTCTTGCACGTACAGCTAAGAATTTAGATCTTGCCTGAGTTTGACCATACTGTAGACGACCAAAGTAATTTCGGCCACACCTAACTGACGCCTGGCGTTCAGCGATAAAACTTATAGAGATTGATGAAGCTTCACCAAACACAAATTCATCTGCTTATATCATAAATCAAGTGTGCCTGAGCGTTATTAAGAGAAGAATTCAGTGAATCTGTCAGCAGGTGCAGTGCTTTCTCTAACATTACTGGCCGATAAAACGGTCTCTATTTGTAAAGACCTCAGTTTCACTATACAGAACATGCATTCAGCACTTATGCAATACTGGTTCCCGTCTGGTTGGAGGGCGGACCATCTGAAACGGAAGATTAGTGAGTGCGCGGAACCGATGTTGGCAAAGTGAAATTGTTCTTAGACCTCACCGTCGGGGTAAGTGAGGAAGAGGGCCATGTTTGTGCCCGTGTAGTTGACTCGCCATTCAAGGAGAGAGGGAGGATAAAGGCGAACGGTCGCGGGGGCTGTCACGATTCGATCCTCGCAGAACCGCAGAGAACGACGGGGGGCGTGAATACGAATGTGTCTGGAAATAAATAGTTGGGGTTGGTTAGCATGACAGGGAACTAACAAATGGGAACTCCCGAAAATCAAAGGACCCGTCTAGCTCATAATAGGAGTACGCGCTCCATTCTGATATGGCGAGCAATTTATGCGTGGATGGTCACAACAAGTGGAAATCGATGTGAATAACGTCTCGAGGTGGATAGATGATAATAATAAAGTAATACAGAACACTGGGGCGCTTCCTCTATACTGTTGGCGTTTCGAGGTAAGCGCCAGTGCACTAGCATACAAAATGTGATCTGAGATGAACGTGGTGACTGTGAACTTTCACCAGCTAGAGGTTCTGCCCGCGGATAACTCATTCATACGTAGGTGTACATAAACTGCCTGATCTACGATCGTACTTCACGACAGCAGCCATCAGAGATTTTGGAAGCCGTCCGCAGGTAAGAATACCGGCGATATGCATCCACAGTCGTCGATGACTTCGTCGCATTTGGTCCTGTGGTGTGTTGTGGCTGATGATATTCTTGCTACGTTTCATTTGAAGACCTGAGCGACCTGTCGTTCTCCACTTTGTAGACCGCTGACGCACAAGATCAGTACGTGCCTGGCTGAACATAGCGTCCTCATCCTCTGAGTCTGTCGCATAATCCACTTCTGAGGTGATGGGCCAGTTTATGGTCTGGTTTAACAATTGGAAGAGGATCTCCTTGAACATCATTGAGTTGGAGAGAGCCTGTAAAATATGGATGGAAAGAGCGGGATTTACTTTTCGTAAAACAAACTAGGTGAGACGTGTGTGCGCGTTAAAATATTCCGTAAAATAACACAATTCAGGTCCTACACACGCTGTGGACTACACACCAACCAACTCCACAACACAAGCATACAAAACACGTATAGACGGGCTGTTTGGCCTTGTCAGTCAGTGCACATAATCTCATCTCTGATTGGTTCCCAGGTTCAAACAATCGACTGCCGAATGAGAGCGGGAAGAGAGTGAGGCCAGTAATGTGAATTGATCTTCATGGTACAACGGTTCGTTCATCAGTATAATAAATCTGACGTCCTCAAACCTATCACGATGTGTTAAGAACCATGTTTTTAAAGGTTGTCAACTGACAGGATAACTTGCTCCTTCTCAGGACAGACAGTCAGGCTGCAATGGTTCCCTCTTGGTTTGCCTTTATAACTCTCAAATATCTGGGCTCAGGACCGCCTTTGGTGTAGCCTAGTGCATAACGCGAGAGCCAGGGCGTGTTTGGCACGCGCAAACGAACTGCGGGGCTCTGTCAACCACTGAGTTCACACCCATTTACGGTCGTCTTGATTTTTTCTGACCATCATGGCAAGGTGGACGATGGAGGACGATGCTGAACAAATCTGTCGCAATACAGACTAGTGTTCGCACAAATCCTCACTGAATCCCCTCTTGGGAGGGGGACACGAGGTGGACGTCGTGGCTTGCGGCAGCAGAACTGCAGTGTGAAATTTACGCCGTAGACCAAGGCGACTTTACTGCAAGGAAATCAGTAAAGTAGACTCAACCTTATCCTAGGCTTAAATTCTGCAGAAGTTGAGCTATTGATCAGTAAGGGTTAATAAAGTTGGGTGGGAAAGTTAATTTCACCAGGAGATGTGGTTTTATCAGCCACAATGTATGTCAGTTCAACGGGGAATACCTATTACTTCCTCGCAAAACAGGGGGTTTTAATTAATAATTTGCTTCTGCGCTCTGTCGACCGATTGTGCTCTTTTGTGAATAGCTGTTTGGTGTAGAACTGCGTCGGGGATCATTCAGATAGGCCATTAACCGAGTACTGCAGACCTGGCTCAAAGTCTCCATGAGAGTGCTTCGTGACTCCAGATCATCGAGGCTCAGTTATTTAATGGCGGAAGATTTGGTCAACATTAATCCTGTTTTGCTTACATTTTTAATTTAATATATTCACCGGCCTTAGAAAGCATTTCCTTACAAAAAACTTCGTCTTCACTAATGAAGATCAAAAGCCTGTGAACAAGAGTTCTTTCACTGGCTTCAATTCGCCATGCGAAATGCGATTTGCGTATAAAAACTGGCGGTTAAATTATGAGCGCTGTCCAGCAAACTTGCACTACATAGTCAGCTTTGTAACTTGTACTCCGAAATAACGTCAAAAATACTTTCCTGTCTGATAGTTATTCAATTTTTTGTAGAAATTAGGCTACTAGGGCTTCAGTGCACAAATAATAACTTGGACAATACATTTATAACCAATTCACCAATTTTTTAACACAAAAACTCTGCAAAACTGAGGCGGATTGAACATTCCATTGATTTCCATGCAGTATTTTATGAAAAAGGGCATTGGAGACCCCCTTCTAACAGATGCATTTCCAAGGACATACTGGCTTGCCCAAGGAATTACCGCACAGGTGTCACAACTTATCTAGATAATTGATGACTACTAACACAGGAGAGAGTATAGTTAGTGAGGCAGTAAGTTTTGACGCTAATGGGTAAGTGCCGTTGGCCGAGGCCCAACAGAGTGGATATTCGTCGACGAGTATTTAGGGACGTAGTGCTCTACTGGATCATACATAATGATAGCACAAGGTGTAGGCACGAAAGTATGGGTGTTCGCCAACACGTTTCGGGTTGGCTCGAGGCCTATGGAAGTGGCAGATATGTCGTTCCCGAGCCAGAAAACGTGTATCCAGAGGTACGACAATTCGAGCATAATTTTCAACGATGTAAACTGTATGCCGCACATCAGGGTGAGAAAAGTAACGGCGACTTGCACGTGAATTAGTTTATGGTGGTAGTAGACCTGCGCAGCATCTATCATACTCCCTCCGCCTCTTCCACCTGGGCCAGGAGTCTTGGCAGGGTCAAGAAGACCGGCAGCGGTGGGAGAGGGTGCAGGTTGCTGGTACGCCAAAAAGCCCGCACCGAGGCGCGCCACCACACCTCACGGCCTACAAAGCACACTGACAAGGATTTTACATAACAGGAAAAAAAGGGGGCGGCTTGGATCCAAACCGGCGCGGCGTGGGTCAGCACCTGAGCGTTCCACCACATTCCAATGTGGGCATTTGGTATGCGTGCACGCTCCCAATAACCCCCGCCGGATCCAGATCTAGTTCCCACGTTGGTCTAGCGCATCTACCGCGTGGACCGTTTTAGGGGTAGTGTCGATCAAAACAGTATGATTCACGTTCAACAAACGTCACCAAACCACAGATGCTGAGGGACACTAAATCAGAATCCGGCGGGACATGTGACTTTCTGAAAAAGGTCTGCAGCGAAGATTCTCAAAAATTTCATTAGATGGTGTGGGAGAAATGTAAGAAGGAGGATGCAATTTGCCTGCAGTTAAAACGTTTCGGCCGCTAGAGCATTGAGTTTATTTATCTGACGTTTTGAATTCGTATTTACGTAAAATAAATAAACGGTCGCCAAGCGGGGTGCCACCCCGCCCGCTATGGCTGAGAATAGCGAAGGCTAATGCATCGAATGAACAGTATAAAACTGCGAAGCCCACACTCTAACAGCTCGCCACAACCACCCGGTTGTCATTTCCTGCTATATTCTCAATCATGCAGAGGTTGTGGTCGCCTGAAGCAATCTGTAGATGGTGTTTTGGTTCCCGGTCCCTCAAACTAGATAAAGTGATGGTAATAAACCTAAAGTGGGGCCGAAAATCATGCTGATGGGAGTGGAATCGGGTGGAGTTCGGTTCGTCCCGGTAGGGGGACCAGCATGCAAGTGAAACGCTGGAAGTCTTTGTTAAGTTCATTTCTAGCCGCTCTCGCCTTGCAATGCCGCTGGAAATGTACGAAAAGGGTGGATGCTCCAAAAGGTCCCTCTACTCTAATTAAATTCAAGCGTGAGATCGCATTGCTTCTGGGGTAATTACTTGGAAGGACTAGGGAGAGTGGAGCTGTCATTTTGCGACGGTTTCGCTGTCAGACAGTCACACCCAAGCCTCCGAAAGGGGAAATAGTTGGTCTTTCAGCGTGACGCTCGGTCAGTTGAGCAGTAGGCTCGCTCTGTGTCGGGCATAATCAAGTGCATTCAGAGTTTCCAAACCAGCCTGGTTGAAGGACTCTGGTTAAGAGCTCCAAGACGAAACGTAGCTCTCTTACGCCGCATTTAAATTAAGGCCTACCGATGAGAGCCAGTCAAATGTGCATTGTTGGCGTTAAATTAACTCGCTAGCACTGAGTTTGGTGCTTTCCTGACTACCACGGTTACGTGATCTTAAGAAAAACAAACTAGAAAAAGCAAAATTGTACTCAGCAAAGCATGACAGAATGAGTCCCGCAACTGGCTTCAATCTTACCATTTGGTAGAGGTAGCTGCCCATGATGAATTCATCGTGTAGGGAAAGTGTGTTTTGGTAAATAAGACGCGTTATCTGAAAAAATAGAAAAAGGTTTAAGATTCCATAGTTAATCTTAGAAATTATTCTTCCCTTGCCGATATTTGATATGTTTATATGAGGTGTAGCCACTTGACATCAGTCAGCATCCATGAGCAAATTGCCCGAAATGTCGCGGTGAGACCAGCTACTCGCACTGCTCGTGAGAATGCTGGCAGTTAACCTTACTTTCTCGCCGCAGATAAGGCCTTAAGCCCTTTCTTTGCGCTGGAGGCAACTGCTAGCAAAAAATACGGAGAATCCCGAAAGAGCATTCAAATTAGGGCAAGCCTAATAAAGCCAGTGAGTAGGGACGAAGAATTATGTCAGGGGTTCGTGGTTGACATAAAATGATAGATGGAAAAAAGCACACTGTAGTCGGACGCGAACTCGTAACAGTGCAAACCCCCCCACGCTCACTAAAATGCATCCTCTGGAATGTGTTTTCGATTCGAAAAACGCACTTGAGTGGGGTTGAAATATAAAATATCGTGCGGCAGAATCCTAAAATATTTCAGTCATACCAGGATATCAGCTTTTTAATAAGTTTTCTTCTGGCTGCCTGCATAAACTGCACTCTGTAAAGGGTGAAAACTTGAAGAGTATGTACTTCTCTCGCTGATTTTCAATGTTCCTATAAATCTAAATATATTTTATAGAAAATAAACTCGAGAGTATTAGTTCTTTCACTTATTTGCTAGTATAATACGTCTTCTCCAAATTTTATAATAAAAGTAAGAGTATCATTTGATTTCAAAGAACTCTCGACTTTCGAATAGTTTCGAACTCGACTTACTGTAACAATTGCATTCAGAATTTCTGAACTACAAGCTGTTTATGTTCTGTACAAGAAAAATCGTACATTTCCATACGCTTTTAAGAAGATGCCACATGAGGTTCATAAAACTTTGCAGTGAATTTTGTCCATATTTATACTTAACATTAATTAATATGGAGATGCGATGTTTTATGACTGAATATTTCACGATCTTAGAAACTTTTTTAAAAAATCGAAGCACACTGCATCTTCAAGTATTAAATTCAAGGAAGACGTAATTTGTGCCAAATGGGTAAAAGAATGAATGAATTTATGCATGTTTTCTATAAAATATATTCGAATTTATAGGGACATCGAAAATCAATGACAAAAACCTAATACTACTTGAGTAGGCGCTTTACAGAGTGCAGTTCACGCGGACGGTCAAAGAGAAATCCGTCCAGAAACTGGCATCCTAATATAATATGTTGGGATCATGCTGCATGACAACTAGCATTACAACCCTACTTAAGCAATCTTCTCGAGTTGAAAACACAGCTTAGAATTTCCGTTAACCTTTTGTGAGATGGCAAATCCACTGAATTTGCTCGGTCTTTTTGTATTTTTAACACACAAGACATACCAGTTTTGATGCCTCGATCGCCATCTCTCCTTCTATTTGTGTCGGCCTTGCGAAAACAAGCGGTCTCACCAACGGTGCCATCCTTTGTCCCAGTTGGAACTAATTGTGTAAAATCCAAAGAAGAAACGGTAAGAGGCATTAAATTCAGACTTAAATTGCAAAGTCCTTTTCTCTTAAAATCCAAAAGTTAGAAGAAAATTGCCCAGAAACATGTCAATCCTCTGATCTCTCGAATTTCGTTTAAGTGCCCTGATAGCCGAGCTATCAGGTTGCTGCCGCTTCTGCCAAAATTTGATATTTTTCTCACTCTCGACCCACGCAATGTTGTCTGAACTATGTTTCTTTTGAATCGTAGGCTAGACTTTTTGAAGGCAAATTTACAAAAGCGGACAGTGCATTTGTTATAGTCCGGCTTTTTAGTTTCATTTGATATTTTAGAATGCAAATTCACGAGCAGAAAGAGAAGGGCACACTAAATACTACACAATCAGGGGCAGCCCATGGTATCCCAAACCCCAGAGAAGTCAACCTGAGCTAGTTAGTGTATGGTAGGTTGGCTGTGCAGAGCTTAAAGAAAACGGAAATTTTTAAATGTAGGAGCCTAAAGTTTCATAACTATTGCTGAATCAACGCACCTGTACACGGTACTGGTTTTTTAAGAACGCAGAAGTTTGCGTGAGAAATAAAAACAAGTAAGAAGATACATGGACTGGCAGTGATAAGAAGAAAGCTAACGTCGGAAAAAACTAAGAGAGGGGTTGAAGAGAGTTAGGATAAAGCGACCTCGATTAACACGCAGCAGATTTCAGCGTAAAAGAGTTTGAGCAACACATGAAGTTAGCATTAAACCATGGACCTGTGAGGTGCCCCAAGACGAATACGAGGAAGGACAGACCGATTTGTCAGCCGTTCTGCGGGCTTTGCAGTGCATCTTCAGGTGGTGGTTAACAGAATGGCCTTCGGCGAGACCTACGCACAGAGGAGGCTGATCCTCGAGACTTAAGAATTAACAGCCATCGATCGCACAGCAGGAATACTTTTACGCGCAGTTGAGCACCGATCTGTCAAAGTGGCTGCCTATGGCGTATGATTACAAGACGAAGATCGTCTGTGTTAGAGTAGTGCTTCGCCCGCTGTCAGACATGACTATGAGATTTCACGACTATGTCCAACGGGTGGATGGAGGTGCCTACCTTCAAATTCAGAAAGTACGAGGTCACACCTCCCCCCACTAGGCTGCCCCACCAAACCGCCTTCAAAAGAGCCACGGACTAGGAAGGTTTTGGACGACTGAAGATCAACGATCCTCGCGGCCAGTGGCGACGAAGGAAGCAATTTCCTGCCAAAAAGAAGAACCTTGGGTGTTTAGAGACTGCATAGACCGACGATATATTGCATTGAGGATTACAGAACAGCCACAGCAACCGGGGATCAAACCTGGGCAGCATGATGATGGAAAATGGTCCCGCCGTTGCCCATATTTCACCCAGTATGGAGGGGGAATCCGTATGTACATGTGTCGAATTACGAGCATACCACACGAATACTTTCCTGCCTATACGGTTCGTTTTAAAAGGGTATTATTTAATATGGCACCCAATCACCGACAGCGGCTTTCCTTCTGATAACTAAATTATCCAAATACGTGCAGCATTATCCTACGACGGTTTATTTCACTGACTTGCGCATCAACGGGAGTATTCTAAAATGAATGGGGCCGATGGGGCCAGTATGTTATCTTCCGTTTCGAGGGCCGAGTGTCAGTGCAAAGTTCTTTGCCGGTGAAAATAAGGAATACGCTTTGGTCGTCAACACCTGATTAGAACTCTTTCGGTTGAGTCCAAAGCTGATTGTGGACGGTTACTACCATCTCAGTCTGAAGTATTTAATGTGGTGAAAAAGAAGGCGACGAGAAAAAAGGAAAAGAAAGAGGAAGAAGAAGACTGATCGGAGCATAGAACATTTGGTCTACTTGGATGAGTCTAAGAACTAGTACGGTAGTAGATGTTCAAAGATAGATGAAGGCAGTAGTAGAAGAGGCGGGTTCTACATTTCATTTCTCCTAGCCAGTAGTAAGTGTCGCGCGTCAATAGTTACGCAAAAAACGAGGAACGTTCATTCCCCTCCGAAAGCTAGAAGACACCCCTGCTGAACGCATAAACTAACTATGTGCAGCCCCAACGGTAGGGTTCTTCCCGTCCAAATCGTCCATTTTTCGTTTGAATAAGCCCATAACCTACGAGCAAATGTTCGTGATCTACAATGACGAATACGTGCATGCTGACGACGGTTTCTATGCCTTTCATAAGGCGCCGGACAACTTTAAGGAGGTTCGCGGCGGGTACACATAAAGGCAACTGTAGTCATCCTGAAAAGTTAGGCCCTGTGGGCATAGGAAAAGCAAGAAAAGCTATTGCGTAGGTCGTGCGTGAAAAGTCGTCCATACGTCTCCTCGAGATGCTTTATCTTGCATACTTGTACCCGGACAGCCTGCCAGCGGCAGCAATACTTAAATGCTCCCTGAAACCACATATTCAGTTCTCGGCACGCATGCCACTAGAGTTCTGATTCAGCATTTGCCCTAACATATCTTAATGACCATAAAACGAGGATGCCATAATCATTGTAGTGTTTGCGCTGCACCTTCAGGAACCCCGGTGCCCTCCGGCGTAATAATAAGTACGCCCAATGTTTGGACCTCCGTTAAACGAAAGTCGATTTGGTAGGATGTGGTTATGTAGCCCCACCTGAGGGGCACAATACTGTTGAAGTTGGGGTTAGGACAACTACCTCTTAACCACTCAAAGTGCAATCACGCATTCCTAATAACTTTCCTTTTGCATACAAGTGCTTGAACTCGTCGCATGTGCGTTTCCCGACTCCACCTGTAAAAAACCCCACCATCACTAATCCCGTATTACAGGTGACTGGGGGTTGTTTACTTCAGGTGGGGTTAAATAACCACATCTGGCCGTCGATTTCCTCCTTTTATAACAGGATAACCCTAAACGCCATCATAATTAAGCAAACTATACTCAGCAGATGCAAGTGAATATATATTTTAGTAACATGCTTTGAGAATCATAATGATAATGACTAAAGGAACTGAGATGAATGTAGTTGAATTATTGATTCTCATCAATCAACCGTAACTCAACATCAAGCAGAAAAAAATTGTGACTTTAACAGGGATCCATTTGGTGCAAGTTCAGTCAAGAGTTTGGGGTTGAAATTACCCTTCGCATGCACCTGCTGTAACTCCAAATCTTTCTACTCATTTCTGTCAAAGTTTTATAATGCTTTGCACCTGAAACTCACATTTAAATTCATCTAAGACTTGTGTTCACCGATATTAGAAGGCCAGTAGGCATTCTCGTTTTGTCGTTGGGTTGGAATATTACTGGATAATGACAACTATCATATTAGAAGTAGTTACTCCCGTGTGTTGAATATGTCAAAAATGCTTTTCAATATATACTATTAGTTAATTTTACCGTGTCGAGATGGGCACTGGTGCTAGAACCGCTATTGGCGATGAGTAGTTGAATTGTGGGCACACTGAAGGAATCGCCTTTGTAGGTAGTCCAACAACCCGGCAGGTCACTGGTTAGTCTGCGCTGGACCATGAAGGTTTTGGTTACTTCCATCTCCGGGTTACGTAAAAGTTCTCTGGCTTCACCATCTATCCCGAAAAAAATTGTTTGTATGGATGAATTGAGATTTAAAAGCATAGAGAGCGAGATCAGAAATTGCAACAGCTGCATTGTTTATGAATACTTTCGAAGATGGCGCTGAGGGTGTTTAAAATCCAGCTCTGTTTGAAAAGGTCGTCCATAGCAGCACTTTCATTGAAAATAAGTAATTTTTGTAAGTTGTCAATGCCTTATCTAAGCATAGCTGTTAATAAGCGAGGAAGGAATATTTTCCCAATCGGCCAGTTAAGCCACCTTCGGAGGCTCTCGCGGTTCTAAAAATGCACGACTCACTGTTGCGAATTCTATCCATGATGAAGGCAAGGTCCGCAGGACACATCAGTTGGCCCATTTCCGTTAAGGTCAGTTGGTCATATTCGACCTCGTCTTCATTTTCCTTTAAAAAGACAGATAAGCTTGCGTAAAAGAGCATTCGGAGGTCAAAAAGTTCCCCACATAGATTGAACACGCATATATGCAAATAAAATGTGAATGTCACAGAGCGAAAGGCGACGGTTGACTAAGTGACAGAATCCCACATTTGGGACAGTGACTCATTGGCTTGGTCAGAACTGTAGTCGGTCTTTGAAAGGACTGAATATAAAACTAGTCAGGTGAGAAGGGCAACTCGTTAGGAGGGGTTTACCTACTCGTGCCGCTAAAGACAATTTCCGCAGAACTAAAATTTGAAAGCTAATTACACCAATGGCTTTTAGGTGAAAAATGTCTCGGCTAGATCGCAGTTGGTAGTCAGGATCTCCATTACAGGTGTCGGGGGGGTTGTCTACTGGGGCTATTTTGTGGGGCTCCATATTCACATCTGACCAATTTGGCTTCCGTTTTACGTTTGAGGTTAGGATTAAGGATGCCGTGACTTTTCATAATTGCCTCAAATGGAACCAAAAACCAGTTTCTGTGTCGAAGGTCTGCGCAAAAAACCCAAGATTAGGGGAAAGTAATTTTCTGAAGACTTACTTTCCAAAGGAGATCTTCGCTCATTGTTTGGAGCTATAAAGTAGTAAGGGCAGTCAAAGTCAAGTCATTGTTGGCTTACAGGAAAAGTTGCATTGACAACAGGGCTTAAAAGTTTTTTTGCAATGCATAAACGGACTCCGTACCAGTCAAATTTTAAAATGTTCTAAACAAAGAAGTAATGGAAACGTCTTCCCTTTGAGAAGGCTAAGGTAAAAAGCTAGTAACCGAGCATGTTTAAGACAGTTACCGAGGGTAGGTACTTCGACAAATAAATATTGAATTACCAGAACTGGCAGGCACAAGCTCGAAAGGAAATACTTACTGGGACTGGTAGCCGAACGCCCATGAGAATGTTCCTGTTATTCTTTCTGAAAGTAGTATAAAAACGGTACGGTAGATAGCACACAAATACACGGATAAAACTTGGTACAGTTCATAATTCCAATAAGTCACAATTGCCTTCTCTGTGCGGAGTATCTGAAGTAGGAAAATTATCGCAGTCGAAAAAAAACTGTACAACCGAATGGAATCAGGCCACCGATCCTCGAAGTCACGATGGCTGTACTACCGGTGAGCTACGGCGGTACATCGTTCATTTGAGGGGATTGTCGATATTCCCCTATCGTGGACTCACGAGATGAGCCTAGTGTAATCTGGGCTGCGTTCTGTACTGGGTTTTAAAACAAACTAGGTCGACGCAAAACGCTGACAGCTACCTATGTGAATATTGTTATAGTCTGCAATCTTAATGGACAGTAACTACCCTGGCAAGGTTGAGAAGCCGCAGTCATTTGCGTTCCTAAGGGTGGGCTTGAGAATCAACAGAAAGTGCAGTCTACACTACACTACGGTTGTCTCATTATTGAAAATATCGGGAAGTCAAACGGTCTAAAAATATATCGCATTTCACATTCGACGCGACAATCCCCAATCATGCATATCCGCAGGTCGAAATTCAGGGAGAGTGGGTTTGCGACCATGCAGACGGTAGTCTTGACAAGGACTCGATGACAAGGACAAAATAATATGCCGTTGATGCGTGAAAACGACGCATGTATATCTTATGCAGGAACAAAAATTATGTAAGAAAATCACTGTCAAAACTGGAGAGTGCCTGGATTTGCACAATGAAGACTGTGTAAATTAATGTCATCTTTCTATAATCGGCTGTATAGAAAGAGAAATACTTGTATTGTAAACTGTATAATCACTTAAGGAGGTGAAGTTTTCTAAAAAACGTCGGAATTTCGAAATGTTTACGCGAGGAGAAAGAGCCGACATATGGAGTGAACAATCTAGTTCTATGCATTATTAAAATTTTTACGCGCCTACTATCCACGTGGGCAAAAAGCGCTGAGGAGCTACTCCGAATTTCATACTGACAACTGCGAAACAGAAGTGCCTGAAGCATCAACATGCGGCATACGCACAAAGCTTAGCTGCACAAAATGAGATCTATATCATTATTGTGATGACACTAAAAATATCAACCGAAGAAAACGGTCTACTTTTGCTTCTCAAAATAACAGCAGGTATCGGAATCCATCAAATATTGACCAAAACGAAAAAATTACTCAGGTTGCGTTGGAAAAGGATCGACATCGGTTGTCATCCCAAGCTTATTAACATACGATATGATGCCGTTTTTTAGTCGGACCCCTTGTAGACACGAGCGTAGAATACATTTGCGAAGGATTTAATGTATGGATAGTGAGGATTATTTCGTCGATATAAAATGTCTACATAAATTTCCTTAGATTTATTGGAAAATGGGCTCAGGAAGTTTATTCCTTATATTCATTTTGCAGGCACCTACGTTTCCTGTGTTTAAGAAGGATATATTTTGTTCGTAACAAAGTTAATGAAGTCATACATATTTTGAACGATCTGCCTTTTCATTAATGTTCGGGTTTATAAAGTGTAAGTCATGTACTTTCTCTCGAGCAAAGCATTTAGCCCTATGCCGAGGTCTGTTAGCGCCCACGGAGTATTGTACCAAAAGTGCATAACGGTAAACACTACTGTAGCGAAATTATGGCTCCCAGACTAGATGAGCAATCTTATCAATGTCTCAAAAATACCTATTAAAAACGTTATAACTGGAATGAGCTCTTTGTCACTTCATACGCAAAAAGTAGAGAGAACTTACATTTCCTTAAGATGGATATAACAAAAGTTCTTTTGTGGTTTTTTATGGGGAACTTAGTTGTATTTATGCAAACGACGACGTAAGATCGAACTACTGACTTAGTTATCCTTTCCCAGGTGTGATTTTCGCCAATGTCCCGAAATCTGACCAGGCTAAGGCCGGTGTGCTACTGTGATTAACTTTAGATGGTGTACCCTACTAATTATTTCCGCAACCTCCTCCACGAAATGTCTTCTTATTAAAAGCATTATTTACAAGCGAAAGGCACTATCGCGAGAGATGATGTCCACCGTGTGCTCCCCGGCAAGGTGGGCGAAAGGGGAGCGACTTGGGTGCGAATTAGTTTATAATCATAGCAGACATGCGCAGCAGCTGCCTCAATTTCTCCTTCCTCAGCCACCTGAGTTTGGTGTCAGGACAGGGTTCGGACGACAGGTGGGATCGGACGAACTAATTGACAAATTGTTGCCCTTTGATTTCCTCAGAACTAAAGCGCTAACTGGAACTTAATCAGTCTAAACTAAGGTCTACAGTCGCAGACCGAAATACGTTATGAGTAATTGGGCCGAAGTTCATCAGTCGCGTAATATTCATTAAACAGCCGACAGACAGCTAGTAATTTATAAAAACGAGCACGCGAGTTCCAAAAAGCAGTTCAGAAGAGGATGATGCGATCGCTGGAACAAGAAGTTTATTTGCCTGATGTGTCGGATTGTCACTCGAACCAATCATCGAGACAGTTGCAGATAAAGGTTGTGGAAGCACAAAGACTGCAGCATTTATAGTACGTAGCTGCCATGGGACCACATGCGTACTATAATTAACAGCTCTCGCGATCACAGCTGGGGGTCGCAATTGATGCGACGATGGCTCGTCAGCCCGCGTCCGAGTCGTTAACTGCCGAAATTTCATTATCGTGTTGGATGTTGGCACTATGATTACTTTGAAGCGGATGGCCGAGCGCGCAGCAGCGGTGAGGCGGAAGGACGCTGGCTCTCAGGTGGCGATTCATTCCACGGGGACCCAGTCATATTTTAAAATTTAAAGAGGCCGAAATCCTCGCAAGAGCTATCAACCGCGTGGGCGACGATCTGCTCGAACCATGGTTCTCACGCCCGAAATCTATCAACAAGTACAATGACCTCCATTCCCTGCGCAAGGGAATCAGTCACGCGGAGAGTGCGCGAGCGAGCAATGATCAAAGTGACAGCGAGCCAAATGGCCGAGTAATAATCACGTCAACATGCAACACGGATGATGAAATTGCGGCAATTAACGATTCGGACGCGGACTGACGAGCCATCGTCGCATCAATTGCGACCTCCAGCGGTGATCGCGAGAGCTGCTAATTATAGTACGCATGTGGTCCCATGGCAGCTACGCACTATAAATACTGCAGTCTTTTGACCTCCAAATACCTTTATCTGCAACCGTTTCCCATGATGGGTTCGAGTGAGAATCGGAAACGTCACGCATCTTCTTCCTCTGGACAGCTAGTTGAATGTACTGGAGTTACAGGATGCTATACCATACATACATAATGGTATCCTGTAACCCCAGTATATACTACTACCTGTCTGTTGGCAGTTTAATGAATATTACGCGGTTTTCCCGCTGTGGCCGATGGACTTCGGCCAAAATATTCATCTCGAATTTCGCTCTGCGCCTGTAGACCTTAAACTGATTTATTCCAAGTTAGAGGTTAGTTTCTGAAGAAACTAAAGGAACAACAACTTCTTAGCTGGAGTATCTACCGGAAACACACATCTGCACGTGTCACACACGGCCGGTCGGCTCACTAAAACAACAACGGGCGACTCGGACTCCTACGTATTGGGAGTGGCATAAAGGCCACAGTAAGAAGGGGCCATTGCAGTCGACTCTTCCTCCGGGGAGGGCCAAGTTATTTCGTCCGTTGGCAGCCTTCAAATCACACAAATATAGCATTGAAGAACAACGGTATAGAGAAGGACTCCAAGTAACTGTCAGTAGACTGTGAAATAAAAAGTGGCCACTTTGTCTGCCTGTTAATAGGATGTTATCTTTCGGTGTCGTCCACAGGGTCGACGCTAGAATTGCTGAAACTCATCATGTGGGTTTTCTTTATCGAGAAAAGATTATATTTCCCCCTTGAGACAGTGTTCAAGTGGAGGGTTACATCGATTTGTTGCGTCTTGGCATATCACTTTAGATGCCCAGACCAGGCACCTGAGACGCTCTGGAATTAGAGTTGCCTACAGTACGGGTAAAATTAGGACAACAAGAACCAAAGTAAAAAAGGGTCCGGAACAGCTTGTTGTTCTTTCAGATATGTTTTGGCTTAAGGCAAGTGAAAACCATTTACAACCACACTGCAAGTAACAAGGAACTTCCGCGCCTTCTCTCCCACGTCCAACAGTAGGGGGGACACCGTCATCTTCAGGAGAACAAAACTATTACCAAAAGCTGACTGTAGAGGAGCCAGAGAATAAATAGGAAGCTGGTCTTATGGTGTGATAACGTACGACGTGTTGTCATGGGCCAAATTCATTAAAAACCAGAAACCAGAACCCAAAGTATATAAGACCGGCAAAGGAAAATGCGACACTGAGGACAGGGAGTGAGCAGTGAAGAGTCCGGCCGTTCTGGTCACAGCTCAGCAGATGGGCAAAGAATCTTACAGCGGTTAGAAACAGTAGACTTTAGTCAGTGATATGACTTTTTCTACTTTCTTCCTTCTTGTTGTATCTACTGGGAGATTTAACTTAGGTAAATATGCCCAAATACAAGAACGTCCTTGTCTCGGCCCTCCAATTTTCAACAAAGTCTTTAAAAGCAAATCCTGCGTAAATTACATTTACTTTGAGCTAATGACAAGGAACAATGTGTGACTCGGTCTGTCAATATGTATTTAATACAAAAAGACTAATTTTGTAGTCTTTACGTTCTCTCATTTATGCAGTAGTCTGTCGACCCATGCAATTGCACGCACGTCTTCAGGTGCTAAACCTTGTCTGACCCTGGCAAGCATTCATGTTTGCTGGCTGTCTGGTAGGCTAGTAGACACACGGTCACTGAATGGCGAGAGCTGTTGGTAATTTGCACAGGGTAACAGTGAAGACGGCTTTTGTTATGCTTGGTGGAAAGTGCAATATTCTGACGAAACATGGTGCAGACGTTCGTTCATACAGTCAAATCCGTTTCTGCCCACAAGAACGTGATGCAAATAACTTTTTAGGTTACTTGACGCCGTCTACTCAGAAGTTCTGAGTGGTCGCAAGAGTTTTCAGGAAACTAGCAGTGAATTTCCTGCGGCGGACGCACTTATAGACCGAAGGGTCCTCTGGAAATCATTGCTCTCTCCCCTAAGAACGCGCAACCTTATACTACATTTCTAATATTTAGGCCAGTAAATTATATTCCGCACTTGGTGGACATGCTTGTACTCGTTAAATGTCAGAACAACTAAAGGCAATGCTTAAACGTTACGTGCCGCCGAGAAAACGCTAAACAGCACATCCTACGAACCCAGAACTCAAGCTTTGGTATTTCAAAATCGAACTGATGAGCGGGAATCAGAAACAGATGCGCTGCCGTTTCAAAAATTACTAGATCATTTTTCCAAACGTCAAAATTAATTGGTCGATCTTGCTGCGGTACAAATATTTTCACCTGAAAAATTTCCAAAAGTATTCCCATTCCTGAAAATTTATACTATTGCGACAGCTGATTACTGACATACCGCGCAGCTGGGTCACAAACTAATTCCTCACCACTTTATAAGGACCGTGTAGTCTGAGGACAGGTGAAACCGCCAAGACAGGAGGCCCAATGAAATAGCCTAAACAGGCACAATGCTGACTTTGTAGTTTAACTGTGGAGCCGTTCTGGACGGGAATAACCGCGAGCGCGCAAGCGCCTTAGATGGGGTATCGTTGACTGGCGACGGCCACTAACTCAGAAATGACAATTTTAGGATCCCGAATCTTTGCCGATACCGTTTTTCTACACAGTTGTGCCCTACCATGCACAGTCGAGCGACAGGTCGACCACAGATGGGTACTCTTTTGAATACTACCAGGCCGTCAATAGAAAACCAAATGAGGGAATTTAGGCAGGCTAATATGCATTGTAAAACCCTAAAAGCCCAAAGTTTTGGAAAGACTATATGCAGTCCGGCCTCGTCTCAAGAGAACTTGTTTTAAAAAATCACTCTTTTCACTTATCATCCGATATGGCCCACACACTCAATGATGCCACAAACCACCTCTCAAACTATACTCATTCGTAGACTAGACTCCCTGCCAACGGCACATTTAGAACCTCATCTTGATGAAAGTCGAAGAGTAGCCGATGTTAGGTCAAAAAAAGGAGGAAACAGCATTCTTAAAGGTATTATCGGATGGTAGGGTACATACCGAGCGAGGTAGCCTCTGAATACAGCCTGAATGAGGGTGGCAGCGTTGTTACGGGCGCGGTCGAGTTGGCCGAGGGCACGTCTTCGCCAGGCTCTTTGGATGATGCGTGCAGCTTGTACATGTCTTCGTCTGCGTACAAATTCTAAACTGTCGGCCAGTTCTTGACGCAAGAAAATCTTCTGTCGACCCATCTCGTACTCTACGCCCAGCTTCACGTTGCCTGACTGACCAATAACCAGATGGAGATTGTTCATCAGTTGTTGGGTGCGTTCATGTGGGTCCTTTATCCGTGTCACTGCCCGGTAGGTGTTCTTTTCCAACAGGGAAGTATAACTAATGGTAGAGGTTGGAGAACCGAGAAAATACGCGTTATGATTTGAATGAACTGCTAGCAACAATATTCGTTTTAATTAATCCCAACTGAACACTGTGTTTTGTGATTTGAGGTATCAAAGCTACTATAAAGCGTGTCACTTATAAGGGCTAATGCAACTGGAATGGCCACTTTGGGTCCCGTTTGTGTCATGAGTTGGCCATTCTCAACCCCAGGCAGCCACCCCAGTTAGCTAGTCATTGGAAGCTCAAATCTTAGGCCTCCTCCTAGTCACCTACATCCAAAAGGACAATGAAGAAGACCAAAGTTGTTTGCCAGCCACTTAACTCACTTGTTGACAAACATAGTGTAGGGAAGGCGAACTGGGAAGCCGGAACTTCTGATCTTTACTGTCTCCAAGATGCCAATGTAGCGAAGCTGCTCCATGACCATTGTGTCCTCGAAGGTCAGTGCTTTCTTTTCGGGATTCGGTTTGATGCAACGCACGAACCATGGGCGTTTTCTGTGCAAACACGGAAAATACATTAGATAACAATTTTGGATGTGGACTGAGAAAGTAAGCATAATGTCACCATCGGGGTTGCGAAAACATTAACCTAACTGACATAATAGACCTAAGCTTATATGCCTCGTTTTAAACTGTGACGCTAAAACTGTGATTTGCAGAACATGCGACGGGTGTGGAAGCACTCATAGAACACCAGTGCGACAGCGCGGCTGATTTCTTCGTTAGACGCGTAACTTGTGGAGCTCTTTCGAGGGTGTGCGAGTGTACATGTTTGCCACCGGACAAAGGCTCTGGCCGGACTTCGATCCGGCTTAGGAGGGCATTAATGAATCCGAAATAGCTGCCCTCTCTCATCCGCTCACGTCTCTGACGCTTCAGTTCCGTTAGCGGTGACCTGCTGGCTTTTGACCCGATTTGCGGTCGCCCGTGCGTGATCCCTACCTCTGGATGCGGAATTTCCCTGCCGTAGTGGGACAGACAATTCGATATATGTAGTTTGATTCCTTAACTCACCCTTGACCTGAGTTCCCACATTAAAATAATCAATATTTCCTACATGCCGTTGAATTTGAGAAGCACATTCTTTCAAATGGAGAAGTGCATGTTAAACATGTTAAGAACAGTATTTTGCACTGTTAACGGAGTGCTTTATTCTCAGAGTAAGAAGGCAGACGCTACTCCAAGCAGCTCAGTCTTATCGGTCTGAGACTTTGAACGTAGACAAACGTCTAGACTAGGCAATAGAACTGGGACAGTGCTCAAAAGTATTTAAGCGTATTACCAAATAGAATGACCGCGTCGCTGTCGTTGACACTCTCCGTCCCGATTTCACGATGGGCAAGGGACACTATAATGACCTAGGGGCTGCCCTTTTTTCCTTGGCTGGGGCAGGATCGCGGGTTAAGAGGGGTGTTCAGGCAACGACCACAACAGGACAAACCCTGAACCAACGACCGCGCCGACGGAGACGTTTCCATCATTCCATACCTTCTCGTGGAAGCCTGATCTAGCGGCAGTGTAGGGGCTAGATAGAGGGAAATCACTACCACTACCTCTCAGTCCTGCGGAGTCTGAACAGACTACCCTGACGACTCCCGGATCGCCTGTCTGGAGACTGAAATCCTTAAATACATAACATGCGGATTGACGGTTTGCTGCGCCAAAAAATATTATTGCCGAGATATCTGCTGACCCTGTTTTGATTTTGTTGTTTTTGTGTCCTGCAAGTTATTCAGTCTTATTTGACCTCCAGCAGACTTACGTCTTCATTGTCTCCATGAGGGACTGCAAGGAAGAATGGAAGCTATCAAGGAGCGTCGGTGAGCGTCCCTTGGCACCTGGCTGGTTACTCCTTTTTATCTCCGACATACGCCTGAACATGAAGGAGATGCCTTCAATTCCACTGTTGCACAGCATGGACAGCGCCTCCGGGCGCATTCGATCCCGATTTTTCTCCACCAACCCATCAACCTGCAAGAGTCCGTGGCACAAAGTAGTCATGAAAAATAACGTAAAATGTTGGACGATAAGTATCACCTTTGAGAATAATGAGAAAGGCTTACTCACAGAATACGGAATAGTTCCCGCAAAATGAACGATCAGAAATTCTGAATTGCTGGAAATTTTCGGAATTCCATAATGGGGGTTGTTTTTGTGTGCTTGATGACATTTGTGAATGAAGGAAGAGTCCTTTCCCTACAAGACAAGCAGAAGGCTAATATTCGGTAGGAATAAAAGAGACAAACGGAGAAGTCAACAACGCGGTGGAGGAATTACAATAAAAAATACCGTTGTATATAAAGGTCATAAAATACATTACAGCAGGCAGGAAATTATAGCCTAGTAGACAGCTTTGCAGGACTTTCGGCATGCGGAGATGACTTTACCAAGTAAGTCAAGCTCCATGATTCAAGTTAGTTTGTCCTCTTTCAGCCTTCCTCATTCTGTATCAGCTGTGGAGATCCTCTGTTGCAGAAGGGACGTTCCTGAACCCTGTATTTTTGACTCGAAAAAGCATTTTCGAACGGAAACCATCTTCTCACATATGCTTACTTTCACATTTTTGAAATTTCATCATCAAAAATGCATTAGTCGCACGAGTAATTAAAATGTTTCGAAGTTATCAAGTGTCAAGGAGGAAGGCTGCGTATTACGTCCTTGTTTTTCAGACTTCTGACATAAGTTGAATCATGGATAAAACCATTAAGAGCAAAATAAGACCGGTCTGGGTGTTTAAGTGAAAACAGGCTCGAAACCCGTGGAAGTATCGTTTGTCACTAAACCGAAAGTCAGCATTACAGTTGAGTTTGTTCCTAAGAAGAACAAGAGCATGTGATCATCGGAACAATACCCGCATTCATTTAAGCTTTTGGACCCCACAGAGGCCCAACCTCAGAGACAAAGCAATGCCAGTAAAAACTGAGCAGCACGTTATAGGTTTTTACCACGCGTCAATCGCGCCGGCCCTCGGTTGAAACTGGTTCGCGCCATTTGGTCGTGTGTCTGTTTATTGACTTCGAGCCCGAGACCCAGGCCTCCAACATCTCCCGCTCTGCCTTGTTTGGAGTCCAGGCAGATATCCAGGTATCTGTGAAGTCTGCTTTGAGGTCTTTACTCAGGGTCTGGGTAACAACTTGGAATGCGCATCCATTCTTTCGACGACCTGTTTCTGCATGCTGCTAGTGAGCTGAGTCATTATGCTGTCCTGCCTGTGTAATGGCAAGGATATGCGTTGCAGGTTGCTAACTTGCGTCCAATTTGTTTTTTATCTTCATGGCCCTGATACGCACGGTAGCTGCCGAACGATGGACGACACCTATTTTAAACTTTTCGGCAATGGGTTCGGTTCCTTCTGATGGTGGAGATAATTCGTCTATTGTGGTGACACCAAGGCTCTGCTCTTGGGATCCCTGCACGATTACTTTGTGATATAAAATCCTAGTCAATGTCTGTTCTGGACCTCGGTGTGTGGTGGTACGCCTAGGTGTGGGTTTTCGCAGTGCCGGCCACCTGTGGCCTCTCCCGCCTCCGGTCTTCTTGACTCTTTCTTGACACCGAGTCAAGTGAGGGGAGGGGGAGAGAGTGCGGTAGATGTTGAGCACCGTCTCTGTTATCACTATGATTTGAAGCACACGCTGAACATCGTCGAAATCGACAGTCGAACTGTCGTCGTCTGCGACCAAGGCTATCTGTGATGCCAACGGCTGGACAGATCACCGCCTTGTCATCTTCAAGATGAGGTTCCATCAGCAACCACGCAGGGGACTAAAAGGTAAACCACCAGCAGGCAAATTAAATGCTGCATTTCAGCAATCAACTAGCTCAGCACCTGGGGGGACTGTCAGCCCCGTATGACAACATCACCATGAAGACTCGGTGGTGTCAACTGTTGGATCCCATCCAAAGACTGCCTTGGACGTCCCCGGACGCGCACTTCGTCAGCATTAGGACTGGTTCGACGACAGTGACGCGGATATCAGACAACAGATCGTTAAGAAACACAAGATGAATAAGGCCTACATGAACCACCGGACGGACGCCAACAAGGCGGTCTTCTTCCGCTATCGCTGTCTCGTGCATCTGCAACTGAGGGAGGTGCAGGACGATAGCAAGGGTGAGGAAATTCAGACATATGCCGGCCGCAATGAAACAAATAACTTCTTTGCAGCACTCAAGGTGGTCTTCGGTTCCCAAGCTAAAGGAACAGCTTTGCTTCTCGACTCCGATAGGACAATGCCTCTGGCGGAGATATCACAGATTCCGAAGCGCTGCGACGACGTTGCCACCGGCCTACTTCCTCAAGCGAAAACGCACAACGATCTGGATCTCCCGCCTTCGCTCCCAGACGTGATCCGAGCAGTGCATCAACTCTTCAGTGGCAAAACTCCGGGATCCGACGCAGTCTACAAGTACGGGGGTCCTGGCCGAGTGAGATGTGGCGTCTAATACAAGTTTCCTAGGACCTCGTGTAAGCGACAATCGTCCTGGTCGGTCATGTGCGAGTTCATCGCACAGAGACGGGCGAACCAGTGCCTGGAACACCGACGTACACCAGACGCCATCGCCTTAATTGTCCACACTGCTCTCGCGCATTCAGCCATCGCATGGGTTTATTCAGACACATGCGCATGAATGAAAGCCTGCGGTAAATCACCACGACATGATCACATAACAACACATTTCCCCATAAACGCGTGCACCACGCACAGCACCTCAAACACCCCACATCACCGGCACCTCTCGCGTAAGTGGAAAATGTGCTTTTCGGATCATTTTCCCATGTGGCTCTTCCGCTGAAAGTGAGATCTGAGCGTTCTACCACTTATGTGTGAAGTCTTGGTGTGTGCATATAGGGGGCCAAGTCATGTGTGCGGCATGCGTAGATGAACTCTCTAACTTTGTCAGCAACGGCGCCTACTTCCGGTATCAGACATCTGACTGACTCGGACAGTGGACTGATGCCTGCGAGTGGGAAGAGAGAGTGAGGTTGACGGTCCCATCGCATAGAAACAATCTGACGCGCTTGAATCTCTCACAGTGCGCCAAAAGCCGTGGCGCGGAAGGTTGCCAACTGATGGGACAACTCGGGCCTCGCGATCTGCCCAGTGTTTGTTTGTGTGGAGTGGCCAACTGGCGGATTGAGAGTAAGATTGCAATGGCTCTTTCGTAATGTGGCCTCTATGGCACTCCCATCTAGCGGGACCCGAACCGCCTCTCATTTTCGCTACTGTGTAAAACCCTGATAACTGTAAGCTATGCACCAGGGGGTGTAGTGACACGCCCAGACGAGGGTTTTCGCCGTGCCAGCTACCTGCGCCCTCTCCCGCCTCCGGTCTTCTTGACTCCGTCTTGACATCAGATCCAAGTGAGGAGGGAGGAAGGAGTGGGGTAGATGCAGCGCGAATCTACCACCACTATGAATTAGTTCACGCGCAAGTCACCGTTCCTGCTCTCACCCGCATGTGGGGCACACGACGGACATCGTCGAAATCGACGGTCGAACTGTCGGAGCGATTGACCTAAAGCTTCAGAGTCTAGCTCAATGGCTCCTTCTTACTGCGGTCTTTATGACACCCTCACGCACGTGAGATCCGAGCTGCTACTTTCTTTTGTGAATACTTGGTGCATTGTGCGGGGAACATGTCATGCGTGCCAAGCGTAGGCGGATTGTTTAACTTTGTTTGCCACTGTACGCGAGTCTGCCGGTCGTCCTAACCCTGTCCTGCCAATGGGCCCAGGCGGGTGGGGGAGGACAGAGGGCGACAGATGCCGCATAAGTCTGCTATCACCAGAAACTAGCTCACGTACGTCCTGCGCCCGCCACGAAGGGGGCACACAGTGGACAACCTTGCATGTGATGATCGCACTGTCATATATGGCAGGTGTCAAGGCATTAGTGGCTCCTTCCCACCTGTCCTCTTTCGGTGTGAACAAAGGCAGTGTCTGAGGTCATTTTCTGCATAGCCGTTCCTTGTCCATCGATCCAGAAGACACTGGAGTCCCTGTACTCGTTTTAGTAAACCGTCTGCGTAGAACAGCGCACATCTGGTCCGATGGTGAGGATATTAATAGTGAAAACACGTCGAAAGATACTTCAGCCAAGTGAGGTTGGACAATTTTCCCACGGACATCGAAGATGAACTGGGAGGACATATTAATGTGCGTCCTTGAGTTTTCCCAAAAGTTTTTATTTTCGGCTGATATGTAAGTCGGGCTCCTTCTCGGAGCGGCGAGTAGCCACAAGTACACGCTGAGTCCGCAGATTTTCGGTAATCCATCGGATCTGACCAGTGCTGTGTCAGATGGTTTCGTCTGCCTCCATTCGTTTAGCGAAATCACCTTTTGTACTTGAATCCTTCTAGAAGTCTGGTTAGCTGGCCGATTATATTTTTCGCCTATGAGGGAGGCGTAGGCTTGTAGGGATGCTGGTCAGTGGGGGCGGAGGCTTGCAAATTCCCATTGTAAACGATGTGACTGAAAATAGGACTGCCTCTCAGGACAACTATTGGAGGAAGGGGGACCTCGAGTAACCCATGGAACCTAATCAGTGTTGTGTCATTCGAATTTATCCGCGGTCATTCGTCTAGCGAGATTGACAATTTTGCACCTAAACTGGTTCGGCAGTCTGACTATCTGACTGATCATCTAGTTGGCCTCCGACGAGAGAAGGAAATGCAGGTGGGTTTATGCCCTCTTGCTGCAGTCATTGCGGTCCATCACTGTGGTTGCTCCCCCCTTGTCAGCAGACAGCACTGTTACCGGCAGAATGGTATTACCGACAAAGACAAGGGAGGTCGGTAATACCATTCTGCGCATATCATGCGCTGCTGTGCGGCTGCCAGTTGGGCACGAGAGAGAGCCCCTAAGACACAACGGAACGACTGAGTTCCGTAAGAACGATCGGTGAGCGCCCCTCCACCAGCACTGTTACCCTTTTCTCCCCTGCCTCTGTCGGCAAATTTATCGATTGTTACGACTCGAGTTCGTTTACGGGTTAAGACTTTTAGAATTCAGTAAGTGGAAGGGGAATCACGATAGCCCCTAAAATGCATTTATTCACGCAGGCATGTTGTAACTGACGAATTTGGTTTACTCCTCTTGCCCAAGCCGTGTTCTTCATGGGCCTAAACACTAGTAAAATCTCTAAGCAGAACTGAACAGAGTGAAACCCTATATATGCAGTCGTACAGCAACTGAGACCGCAGAATGCATACAGATCATACATCCGACCGAATATTTCGACATACGTACGTAGGTTACTGGACTCGGGGTCGGATGCATCAAATCATTGAAGCCGAATATAACAGCTGACACCGCTTAAGAGCCCTGACGCTTACTGAGACCCTGCGTTTAAAACTTTGCAAGTGACTTCATTTTTCGGTTTGTTAGTACTTTCATGGTGAATCGTCTTAGCACTTTTTGAAAAAGCATAAAATTCAAATTGCACATCTACTTTGCCGATCTCGCATAAGAAGTAACTGGCGTGCTCAGGTCAGGTCATCAGAATCGGCCTTCGCCTAGCAGAGAAGGCGGTATAAAGATAAAGGTACTCTGAGCAGTGGTGTTATGCTGGAGGAGTCTTCGTTAAGATGCGACTGCCTCGTACTAAGTGCTGACCTAGAGCCTACATGTACAGCTTTTGAAACCCTTCTTATAACTATACTAAGAGTGATTCGGAAAGTCACCTGCGCAAACCACGGCAGAAGGCCTACAAAAGTAGTGCCGAAAGGTATTTGACCATATAATGGGCGTGACACAATACAGTGATGTCAGGAGTTACAGGTGTAGTCCGGTTCCTAATAAGAAGTCATAGCAATACAGGTTAATATGAACTCCATAGGGCAAGTACTGGACGTCCAGGTATTATTTTGGGAATGACCTGTTTGCTCGGTGACGAAAATCCGTTGATATAGGCTGCTTGCTTTGCACGACCCAGCACAAATTAACCCGAGTAACCCAGTTTTCGAGTGTCAAGATTGTGCACCGGTGCAGGTGACTTCACGGCGGTTTGTAGTGTACACACACACACCCCCACTGAACGAGTCATAAGTAGGTGGGTTCGGCGTTGGCAGGATGGGCCTTGACATCATCGGCTCAATGGTAGCATTAATAGCAGCATGCGCAAGAGTGGTGGGGGGGGGGGGGGCAAGCTCGCCGGCATATGGAGAGCAGTGAACGCCTACGTGTGCTCGCGCCTAAGTGCGTCCTTGCGCCCCAATCGATTGATGATTAGCCCTGTCAAAGCATACATGCGCACACGCCAGGTTCGCACTTACCTGGCTGCTGTCGATTGCAGCAGCAACAGTAATTGCGAGACCTAGCAGAAATAGCGGGCGCTGGTGTCTGTGATAGGCTTATGCTAGCACAAGAAGCGAAGTGAACACAGCCCACGTTTTCGTGCACTCAGTGACAAACTTGGCACGATCTCATGTCTTGGGTGTTTCTGAGTCATTAACTAACCGAAGATGGTAATGACGTTTGCGGATAACAGCGGTCATGCGTGCAGACAACGCCTGGAGCTTGGAGCTAAGCGCGGAATGTCAAGAAGCAAGTGAAATGCCAATAAGGGCGACTAGCTGCAGATCTGGTGGAATCGATGTTAACATTCGACCATGAAACATGCGTTCAGGAAGTTGAAGTCGAACTATAGGCAGAGATGAAATACAACCAAGATCGAAAACATATGACCGAAAGCCTAGAAAGACCTTGCTTTCCAACGTGATCTTAGGCATGGCTGAGACCATTTTCATCCACAGCTGGAGCGATAGGGAGTGAATTAGTCCATTCAGTAAATCGACTAGCAATTGCACTAAGCGGCTTGTTTATGCTCAGATTCATATCTTTAAACCATCCCCTCGTCTATTTAACGTCGTGCTAAATCGAACTTATAAAAGCATATCTTTGCAGCCACAAAGAAACGTTTTGCTGAAAAGTATTGAAGGTGTTCCAAAACCAGACTCATCCTTCCTCACTCCTCTCTCTCTCCCCTCTCTCGTCGCCTTATCAAACAGACAGGACAGATGCATCGACACAAAAGCGTCCATCTCCAAGAAAAGCTCTCGATCAACGTCTACGTATGGGTTAAGGAAATCTGATCTCTGCGATGATCAACAACCAAGCAGGAATTCAAAACTAAGCTGATTTCATCAAATTTATGGATTAGAATACTGGAGCTCCGCTTAAATGGGCAGTTGGTTAATTGGATCCGTCCGTTTTTTAGTCAAATCTTAAACAATATCGTATGAATTACCTCGAATTCGCTCCGCTTATTGCGGTCGCTACCTCGATTAATTAGGCAGGTGATTGTCCTAAGGCAGAATTTAGCAAGACGAGTCTGAAGGGATAGACTGATATTTCGAACGAAAAGTGTTCTACGCAGACTTTCAACCACTCTGGCAGTGTACAGGGCTGAATAAACACGCGATTTAGATCCCGATGGTGGTGGTGGCGAAAGGAAATTTTGCGCAACATTCTGATGACAAAGGCCAGTTAAGAAAGTACCTTTTACGATAGGGGACGCATGGTGGGAACAAAGTTAGCAGCTTTGGTGTCCATCAGCAATTTACTGTTTGTCCATTGGCGCAAGCGATCGTCGGTCGGCGTGGTCGTGCATTCGGGTGGCTCGCTAGCACACAAAACGCTAGCTGGAAAAGTGGTGCTACTGGTCCAGGTCAGAAGACAACAGCCCAACCCCAGATATCACCAGCTGACGGAGAAAACGGACGTATTAATGTTCGCACTCGCATGTTTGATACGAGAACGAGGCTACTAAGGGAGGAATATACAGGGTTCACCAGGGAACATCGCAAAAACGAGGAGGAAGAAAGGATTTAGATGCGAAATAGACCAGTAATCAGTGGTTCTCCGCTGTTAATCTGAATGATTGAGTCAGCCACTTAATCGGCTTAAAGCGTTTTAGTTCAACGTGGACCGAGTCATCAGAGTTTACTAAATATTCCATGCAGTCAGGCTCTAGTCGAATGTATGCGCCTAAATAATCAGAAAGGTCCGCGTTTGATCTACTGTTTTACTGACTGCGCTGTTCTCGAAATCGAACTTCCTCGTAAGATAGGATCGCTGAGTGACAAAGTTCCCTCTTCATAAAGGGTGTTAGATGAGGCCCCATCATCAAGCTCCTATGAAGAACCACAGCCTGCCAAAACTTTCTACTGAAACTTTTCCTGTACCTGAATTTTGCGAGCTGAAAAACAGGTGTAGCAAAAGACTTCTTCAATAAGCCCACAGTACTTTTCGTAACAGTTAACAGTATTAGCCGACATTTACCTGTCCGAGATAGGCCTCGTCATTGAGGATATGGATGATGCCATCGGGACGCGCAGTAAGGAGGTTTATGATGTCCCTATTGTCTGGGAACTTGATGTAGGCCCAACTGACGCCCTCCTGATTATATTCAGCTTGCTCGAGCTCAAAGACGTAGCGGTTGAAAAAGAGCTGAAGATTTTCGTTGGCGTAGTTTATACAGAGTTGTTCCAGCGAGTTGTTCGGTAGATTCTAATTTGAAGTAAAAGGGAAACATTTTAACAGTTATTCTGGCGCTCGTGGAGTGCTAAAAGGGTTTTCTTAGGAGCGCAGTGTCCGAGTATACGAGATAGAAACAGAAAATAGTTAAGGGCCTTTTTGAAGTTACTGGGTGTGATTGTGCTAGAACACGCGCGTAGCAGAGAGGAAGAACAAAGAAAAAACTTACGCTCAGTTGGCTCCACACACACGCACCTTTGCGACTTGAAATTGAAGAGGAAATAAGACACGTTTATGGGGAAAATGCTGCTTAATTTCCTGTGCAGGGATGGTAACCGTCAGCACATTTGCAAAATATCGTATATAAACGGCTGTACAATTCGGGGTGTCAGAAATAATGCGATAGTACCGATATTTCCCGAAGAGTTTTCAAAAATAGTTCGTCTATAAAACAAATTGCATGGTTAAAAGTTGGTTTCGTCCATTGTCGGGTCTGTACCACAATTCAAACACCTGCATATAGAGAAAAGCAGTACTTTGGTCTAGTCGGGACGAACAGTAGTGTTAGGGTAGGTCAGGACTTCAGGTATACACGGTGATTTCCAATTCCATGGTGACAACAATCTGATAGTTTTGCACACCCAGGCACTTTCATTACAGGCAGACTGGTTAAATGTTTAATCAGGGTAGCCGAGATCGGAGGTCAGTTGACAGTGCAGATTAACATCTCACGATAAAATCTGCGGTTTTTGAGCTTATTAGAAGATGTTCGTCGATGTGACTCAACTAGCCTAAGAAAATAGCACGTAACTTAAAACCTGATGGAAATTATGTTTTCCAAAATACCTCGATCCACGTTGATCATGTTCCAGCCATAACTGTTAGAGAGCTAATAAGCGCGCAGTGAGGGCATAAGACCAGGTTTCCCGAATGAATCCGTGCAGTTTCTTCGGTTAGACTGGTCCCTTGATCTAGAAAGTTTGTATGATTCACTGACGCATGGCTAATATCTTGGATCCATGCACCGTAAACTGCGAGCCCTGACACAAATCCAGAGTTTAATTATTTGAAACAATTCCGCTCATTAAAGCGGACCAGGAGTGGTAGTGAATAAGTAGCGTTGGACGCTGTGAAAGGTCATGGACACCCCGGCCAGCGGGTAGCCAATTGGAACGTGCGTGGTTGCAGCCCCTTGGGCTGGTGAATACTCCAGGTTCCAAGGGGTGAGAGGCTTGACGTGGGTTGTTGGTTTTGGAATCCTAATGAGTGGACCGCGATAAGAATTTTTTCCGTTAAGTCCGCGGCGAGCCGAAGAAGTCAGCGCGACACTGTGCTACAGGCTTTAGATAAGTTAACTAAATCGGCCTGTCCTATAACGACAGATAAACGGATTTACGCAGCAGGTAACTGTAGAAGATAGGGTGGAAAGGTCGGTATTGGTGTTGGAGAGGCCACGCACATATGTTCAAAGTAGCCACCAGAACAGTATAAACCCGTGAAGTTACTTATTCCAGTCTACTTGTATTGCATAAAGGAAGAAATAAATCAAGCAAAATGAGCCAAAGACTGGCACGCCAATGTTTTCCCTGTAAGATGTTACAACAGAAAGTTGCAACTGTAGTAGAGGTCAATTGATCAACAGTTTCAGGTGGTATAAAAAGACACTTGAGTAATGGAGTCCTTAACTTCACAAAGAACCATCATTCGTGCAATATCAAGTCACGTTAACTAATTAAAAGAACCGCAGAAGGAACTACTCATCTTCAACGTACTTTCACGGGATACTACATTGCTCACTCTAGGAATACTCTTTTTCGTCTAATTTGCCTCTTCTTAATGATGGAACCGAGTAAAAAGAAAGGTCTGGTGGTAAGGACTGTTAATTAGATAATTTCAACTTGCTCACCGACGACATGCAGCCCTACTGTAAGCTGTTTGGGTAGACCGGCGAGTTCGAGGTAGATGAGCTGTCACCTATCTGGGTGGTCAGGCTAGTATAATTTGTAAACATACTTCTCGCCAACATACATTTAGCACTCACGTAAACCAGTCAAATCGGAAGTCTACAGAGCGGTCGAACTCACCTTCGCCATCAGGGGAAGGGGAGAGCGGCATAACTAGGCTAAGCCGAAGCTGAGAGACGGGAAGTGTGCATGATGTGGTATTTGTTCGTCGCATACATGATACTAATCGCTATCTACCAGGAATTTGCTTCTTATTATGTGGTGAAGCATACACCAGGCTAAGCAAAGAAGGTACGTGAGACATGGAACCACGGCAGGTCATGAATCTGTTGATCAGTTTTAGTACGAAAGATTTCGTCATTTCCGTCCATCTGCTCAGCTGATTCCAGAGTGTCTAAACGGTTCAGCAGGTAGACTGATAATGAAAGACATTCTAGTGTGATCTCTTTCTCCAACTCACTCCACTGTACTACCATTGGGGTTTCATAGTCGGTAGTAGAATCTCCCCCTCTGACGTTTTAACCAGTCGCTTAGACCGAAAATCGACCGACCAGATGGCAGGGTATATCGAATAATTCGCACAGTCACCAAGTCTAACTACGACAGTTCGGGATCAGAACACGCGTTGCGGATTTCGGCGATCAAATTACATCCTACAAAATTTTCTTGCAGGCTGAGTTTCAAAGTTTCTGAGTCTGGTTTATTAAGTGTATTACATACATGTGTTACAGTTAATAGAAATAAACACCGATCTGCTGCGTTGAAAGTCGATCATTCGGAAGTTGTTGAAAATTTTGTCGACTCGTCCTAAAGTAAACTTCGAGGAGGGTATGATAAGTATGATCCTGCGCAAATACAGCCAGACGGAAAGCATAATCTCAGTCCGATCTGCTGCTCGACGTCCAGTCTTCGTTATACTCGATTATGGCACCAGTTCGCTAAAGCCACCTTCGATTCGTGAGAGATGAGACGGCGGTTCATCGATATTTCAATTCATAGCACTCACTGCTAGTCGGATGAAAAAAGTATTGCCCCCAACTGGCCAATGTTAGCCCTAACAAAGTGTTGCATTGGGTGGTGAACTCAACATCTACTCATGGGTAAGTCAACTTACACGTTGGTCAAATTACCCAGCGATCGGGTACATTTTGCTCAACAAGAAGTAGATTGAAGTCATTATATCACATTTAATCATAACTGAACGGACGTATATATATATATATATATATATATATATATATATCAGGTGAATAATTTGGGAAATTAATCAGTGCAGAACTTGGAGTTAAATCTCCGGGACATGACTTTTTAGGGTCAGAACCGAAATTTCAATGAACATTTGAGTCGAAGACAATCAACTACTGTGGAATAACCACGTAATGCCCATTCTACAAACAAGTAGTACTACGAGTAGTATGAATTTCATATGGTAAAGGTATTATACCGTACTCCCGACCTAGATACTTGCTAAAAGCCCAGACACGTGTTTCGCCGATATTCTGCCGCTGCGTGACACAGCTGCGAGGGGTTCGGCTCTTCAGTGGGACCCCCAGCGTTCTCTAGCGGTTTCTGGTATATGAACTCCAGAGAATAATCAGGTGAATAATTTCGGAAATTAATCAGTGCAGAACTTGGAGTTAAATCTCCGGGACATGACTTTTTAGGGTCAGAACCGAAATTTCAATGAACATTTGAGTCGAAGACAATCAACTACTGTGGAATAACCACGTAATGCCCATTCTACAAACAAGTAGTACTACGAGTAGTATGAATTTCATATGGTAAAGGTATTATACCGTACTCCCGACCTAGATACTTGCTAAAAGCCCANTGTTTTCCCTGTAAGATGTTACAACAGAAAGTTGCAACTGTAGTAGAGGTCAATTGATCAACAGTTTCAGGCGGTATAAAAAGACACTTGAGTAATGGAGTCCTTAACTTCACAAAGAACCATCATTCGTGCAATATCAAGTCACGTTAACTAATTAAAAGAACCGCAGAAAGAACTACTCATCTTCAACGTACTTTCACGGGATACTACATTGCTCACTCTAGGAATACTCTTTTTCGTCTAATTTGCCTCTTCTTGATGATGGAACCGAGTAAAAAGAAAGGTCTGGTGGTAAGGACTGTTAATAAGATAATTTCAACTTGCTCACCGACTACATGCAGCCCTACTGTAAGCTGATTGGGTAGACCGGCGAGTTCGAGGTAGATGAGCTGTCACCTATCTGGGTGGTCAGGCTAGTATAATTTGTAAACATACTTCTCGCCAACATACATTTAGCACTCACGTAAACCAGTCAAATCGGAAGTCTACAGAGCGGTCGAACACACCTTCGCCATCAAGGGAAGGGGAGAGCGGCATAACTAGGCTAAGCCGAATCTGAGAGACAGGAAGTGTGCATGATGTGGTATTTGTTCGTCGCATACATGATACTAATCGCTATCTACCAGGAGTTTGCTTCTTATTATGTGGTGAAGCATACACCAGGCTAAGCAAAGAAGGTACGTGAGACATGGAACCACGGCAGGTCATGAATCTGTTGATCAGTTTTAGTACGAAAGATTTCGTCATTTCCGTCCATCTGCTCCGCTGATTCCAGAGTGTCTAAACGGTTCAGCAGGTAGACTGATAATGAAAGACATTCTAGTGTGATCTCTTTCTCCAACTCACTCCACTGTACTACCATTGGGGTTTCATAGTCGGTAGTAGAATCTCCACCTCTGACGTTTTAACCAGTCGCTTAGACCGAAAATCGACCGACCAGATGGCAGGGTATATCGAATAATTCGCACAGTCACCAAGTCTAACTACGACAGTTCGGGATCAGAACACGCGTTGCGAATTTCGGCGATCAAATTACATCCTACAAAATTTTCTGGCAGGCTGAGTTTCAAAGTTTCTGAGTCTGGTTTATTAAGTGTATTACATACATGTGTTACAGTTAATAGAAATAAACACCGATCTGCTGCGTTGAAAGTCGATCATTCGGAAGTTGTTGAAAATTTTGTCGAGTCGTCCTAAAGTAAACTTCGAGGAGGGTATGATAAGTATGATCCTGCGCAAATACAGCCAGACGGAAAGCATAATCTCAGTCCGATCTGCTGCTCGACGTCCAGTCTTCGTTATACTCGACTATGGCACCAGTTCGCTAAAGCCACCTTCGATTCGTGAGAGATGAGACGGCGGTTCATCGATATTTCAATTCATAGCACTCACTGCTAGTCGGATGAAAAAAGTATTGCCCCCAACTGGCCAATGTTAGCCCTAACAAAGTGCTGCATTGGGTGGTGAACTCAACATCTACTCATGGGTAAGTCAACTTACACGTTGGTCAAATTACCCAGTGATGGGGTACATTTTGCTCAACAAGAAGCAGACTGAAGTCATTATATCACATTTAATCATAACTGAACGGACGTATATATATATATATATATATATATGTATGACCTCTAAGCAGCTGAACGTCCCTCTTCTTCAACCACTACTTAAAATAGGCTTAAGACTGGCAAAGTGGGTATAGACAGCCTGCAGTTTCATTTAGGCAACTAATGCTAAGAAAAGTTCTTGGCAAATCCAAAGCAGAAGTGGTGCTGTTGGAACGACGAGAAATACCCTCATGTAATGACACTGAAATGCGGATAGGAGATAAGGCTGCAGGGCAAAAACGGTAAAAACAGTGGAACTTGGAATGCCGACGTCTAGCTTATTGGCCATCATCATTCAGCCACATTTCGGACTGCATCATTGTTCTTTGCTATGCAAGTGCCTGCGAGAATCCTAGATGGGGCTCCAATGCGCAACTAGACCGACAATTTCCGAGATGTAGCCAGATGGACGAACGTCTTTTCTACAGTGGGCAGTAAGATTGTCCTTTTATAAAGTTGCTATTATATTCATGAAATCGTATTTCCACTAGCAGAAGTACTTCCTGGGGACAAGAGTCACAGCAGAAAGTACATACGGTGTGTCAATTCAAACACAGCACCGTCGCAGTCAACTAGCGTACAAAATCTTTATCATAACAAGTGTCGTTTTATGGCACCAGCATTTTTTCCGTTTTCTCAATGTATAGAGCCAAGCGTTCGACTGCCCACTACTGTATTCCCAGGAAATCATAAACATAACTTTCTATTTCATAATGGAAGCTATGATGAAAATATACTATTTTAAGCATACGTATTGCCTGGTATCGGACTACCCACCTGCCAGGGAAACATTACTTCAAATAACTTGCTGAGCTCAAACTTGGTCATTATCAAATAAACCGCACTCTCCATCGCAGTTTTGAAATTACTAAAACTTTTCGTTTAGAACCATAAAAGTAGAACCAGACAAAACAGAGTCATTGCCTTCTCGGACACGCACGAATGCTGCATTTGGGCCTGACACTCCGACTCCTTCCACAGACGACCACAGAGCCAAACACCTTGTCGCTGAGTGCGCGTCAGACACACACACACACCCACACACACACACACCGTCTAACTATAGAGTGCATAAAAGTCTTTTTTGTAAGATCGAAAAGCTATTCTGTACGTCCGACCACAAATACCCGGTTAGTTTGGTTGTAGAGTGGACATCGGCGAGTCAGTCTGGCCTCTCGACCTATGGCCCCTGCATTTTGAATTTACTGCGCTCTGCGGCGCGGTCAAGGACGGCGGATAGCAAGCACTTACAGAGAGTACTAAGAGGCTGAAGCACGCCACTCAGTCAGCAGAACAAAAGTAACACTGACTTCAGACGCACAGAGGGCCAGGGTTTCATAGTCGTGCCCTGCTATAGTTTAAACTATGTCTGAGCTATAATGTAACATTTTGCATACACAACTGATGATGCTTATAACAGGGATGTCCTTACTACTTCCATTCCGGGCTCACTTTCAGAATGAAGATGTATTTGATGGTGGGCGCCTCACAAAAGTCAAGCTGCGTAACCAAGTGAAAATATTCACAAGCATGTAATGGCTCAGATCATAGCGGTCACGTGATGAGACCTGGCCTGATCTGAGGATTACCTATAGTGCGTTAGCGCTCCTTTTTAAATGAAACTGAATCTATGGTCGATAAGAAATAAGGAAAAGTGACGTCAACTTGTTTACTCACGCTCGCTAATCCCAACCATAGCGTTAATTAATAAATCAGCTACTCCCATCTTTGAACCTTAATCTCTTATGAATGACCAAAGTCTTCTGACAATTGGACTTTTTTCTGACCCGAAGAGTAATTGTTGTCGGTCGGTTAATATTAAATCGGTGAAGAAAAAGTGCTGAGATATGATAAAGTATTAAACATATCGATCTATATGCGTGCACCTCCTGCGTCATGCGTAACTGAAGAATTAGCGAAAAGCAGTTCAGTATGACTGGCTTGAGGTGCAAAATAGTAGATCAAGTAAGGTTCCCTCCGAGACGACCTACTACCAACGCAAATCCGCTCTTGGGGAAAAATATTAGAAAGTCTAGTGAGTAAGCGAGAGTGGGGAGGAGGGACTAAGGAAAAAAGGAGACGGTGGTGGTGGTGGTGGTGGTGGTGGTGGTGGTGGTGGTGGTGGTGGTGGTGGTGGTGGTGGTGGTAATAATGGTGATGATGACGATGATGAAAGATTAGGGAAAACTGTGGAAGGGGAAATCGTGCATACTAAATTACTTAAAACCGGGAGTTGGAAGAGGAGTGAGCAGCATGAGGAAGTATTCGGATACAAATAAACAGAATCCCAAACTTTGGGTGTAGGAGCTGAAGTTCCAGAGATTAGGTAAGAAGAGTGAGAAATAATGATGCTGGAAAGATGGAAAATATAAAGGTAAAGACAATTTGGCTGCCCCTGGGGAAATTCGCAGATTAGTTTGAAAGTGAAGTAAAACCTATCTACTTTTCTCTTTTGGTCTGAGTTGATGGGAGACTGGTTTAGGTTGTGTACTGGCATTTGCGAAGTTAAATTAAATCCTCCTTTGGGGGCGTTTGCCCATCCACGAACACAATACTGACAGTCTATCAGGCCTATGCAAGTAATTCGACAAAGCCTCAAACTTTAGGGTTGGGCGATTCCATACTAACAGCACAGGCACTAAATTGAAGCATCTACCGGAAAGCGAACAGTAAATGCTGGGGGACCCACTGATGAGCCGAACCCCTCGCAGATGTGTCATGCAGCGGCAGAATATCGGCGAAACATGCGTGAATGGGCTTTTGGCTAGTACCTGTACTGTTAATATGGAACCACCTTACCCTAAAGTATACTACTACCTGCTTGTTGGCAGTTAATGAATATTACGCGGTTATCCGCTGTGGTTGATGGACCTCGGCCCAAATATTCATACATGAAAACTAAGATGTGAGCCTATAGACCTTAAATATACTGATGTACTCCAAGTTCACAGTCAATTTCTAAGGAAGTTAAAAAGCTACAAAGCATCAAACCTCAAATCCGTAAATGTCGAGGAGCGAAATAGTCCTCAGGCCAAGATTGACATCCGTATTGTCGGCATTCCGGGGCGCCAGACGCAAATTCAGTTCATTCACCAACTGATCAAAGTACTCGGAGTATAGGGATTTGGCCACGGAGTCTCTGTTAACCCGAGCCTGTACCTTATTTACAGGACTTCTTACTGTTTCTTTTTGAGTTTCCTTCAAGGGCAGGCAAATAAAGTTGTGTTAATTATTCAGAAACACGTTTGCGGAGAAGAATACATTGGATTTTGGAGAAAAATCGATGCATGATAGACAGCTTACATCGGGTGAAATAAAAAGCTAGCCTTACGGCTGCATATTTTTTAATCAGTAATGACACAAGCATAGTTTTCGATGATGTGTGGGCGATAAATCGGACGGAAATTTCTAAATAGCGGACAATTAATAAAGTTATACTCGTTTGCACATACAACATAATTGCATCACCCATGAGTTTATAAGCAAAATCAACTTAGGTGCAGGTAACACGTTTAAATAATCTTGGCTTTTTTCCTTTTTGTTTAAGAATTTGAAAAAAATGCTACTCATGTTTTATGCACTAAAATGTTTTTCTAAATGTTGAACGCAAACGCAAACGTATATGGACAGAGCCATTAAGGCGACTGTTGTAAGATAATCTGATAGCTTCCTTGCCAGCAGACTTGTCACACCTGTATCTTGTTCAGAATTAGAGTAGCAGAACTCTAAACATATAAAATTATCTAATAAATGGTAGAATAGCGCTTTAAGAATAGTTTGAGCATGATGTCTGGCAAACTTTGGCATTGAAAAGTCCAAATATATATAAGATATATTCACGTCTTACCGTCACTTTCGTCGTAAGAATGAGTTTCAAGACAACTGGATCGATGGCAAGTTCTGAAGCAATTATTTCAAGAAGTTCTGGATTTTTAATGAAGCTCGCTTCCTAAAAAAGTAGCATTGCTTTTAATGGTGACATGAGAAAAAAAATTAACATGTCAGTGTTCCAAAGTATGTTCCTAGCTGATTGTAATGTGGTGGCAAAAATTCCCAATAAAATGCATGCAAAGTCCAAAAAAGGCTGCTTACATCTGTTTCGCCAAAATCAATATTTCCTAGATGCAAAATTCCAGACATTATTCGAAGGCAGAGATCCATATCATCGCCAGTGAAACGGAGATTTGACCAGCAGTTTAAAAGAACATGAAGACCGTCTGGATCTGACCGGGACTCGACTCTGCTTGCCTTGCCCTTAGGAAGTCAGAAACAACTTCTTGTAAAATTTCTTGTTCACGCGCCAACGTGTAAAATAAATGAAAACAGGTCATTACGGTCACTTAATTAACAAACTGTTATCTGTGAGGAGACTAGTAATGATTTGGAGCAAGCATTTGTGAGCTAAAATAGATAGGAGTTTTCCGAAGCTGTCAGCGCATGTGGTTTTCAATTTCCTTAAAAACTACAAAGCATTATTATTTTGTTTCCCGCGCCGTAACGTTTTGGAGAAACGGTTAACCAGTTGAAAGCAAAAGTTCATCTTGCGTCTGCTACGTGGAACTCACATACTGCAAGTAGGCATAGTCCGCGACACTCGTTAGCCTGTGAGCCGCTTTCGTCTCTCTGTCGAGGCTACTCAGAAGCTGATAAAATACGTGGTAATTTCGTTCGCCAACAGCCTGAAGTAAAGACGTGCCCAAATTAACTTAGAACACAAACAAGTAAACAAAGGGAATTCTAGATTACAGCACAAGGATTTAAAATGCTAACTTAAGCAGCATAAACAGTTTCAATAGCCAAAAAGCGAAAGCAGCATAATCAGTTAAGTCAGACCTGCTGAACAACTCGCGACTTTTCGAGAAGGTAATTTGTTACTCTGGCGCCGACAATTGTTGGGCTGAAAGTGGTAAGGTTTCCGTAAATATATGTTTTAAATATAAAAAATTCTAATCGTCAATCGCGCATAGTATTTTTATTTCGCACTTACCCTAGGAAAAACACTTCAACATATTTTCCGAAACGTGATGAATTGTCATTGCGCAGTGTCGTTGCGTTTCCAAAACTTTCGAGCAAGGGAGTGCTTTCGAGGACACCTTGGGCAGCCGACCCCCACGTTATTTGGTCTCCCTCACTCGATGATGCCAAATAACGTAAAATACGTTTGAAAGCTTCGGTCTTGCCGGCGCCCGATTCGCCGCTATAGCAAAAAGTGAAAAGGGACCAGATTTTAATGACAACTCGGCATTAAGTGGCAAACAATGGATCTAGTGGTTCAGTAGGAATCCTACCTAATGATAACCACTTGGTCGGAGCCGTCATGAAGCAAATTCTGATACATCCCTTCGGCAACACCATAAACGTGTCTGAAAAATATATGTGTTAAGGCACAACAATGGTTTACGGAGGCATAGAAGCCATTGGTTGACTTCTATATGTGCTCATGACTTCGGGACCGTCAATGAGTAAATCAACGTAGGGGTTGACACTAACTAAAATACTTCCGATATAAGTCTACACATTGTTAATGAAGAAAAGCAAGTTCTTACATAAATGTTTTTCTTTTGATATCTCATTTTTAAGTTCTCCAAGATCGTAACCTCGGAAAGGTTTCTGAAAAATTGCGTTATGTAAAACGGAAGAGTACCTTAGGTTAACCATGTTATCCACGCCGTCCACCTCAACTGGCCCAACAACTCGAACTCTTCTCAAGTTTTTAATATTGAGGACTTTTATCTAAAACCGTTTATATCTACTTTGAACGAACTTCTCCATCGATTGTGCAGCGGACTTGAATAGCATCGCGCTTAATTTGGCAAACTTCGCCCAGGATATCCCTCATGTAGCCCATGTCAAATAAAACACGGACACCCTTTTTTTCATTTTTGCGAAAGTTACTTACCTCTCGGATGCCCTGGACATTCGTGGTCATATCGAAGTCAACGTATTCTTGAGTTTCCTGTCAGTTTGAATTAGCGCGTTCTAAAAGACACCCGAAGCAAAGTAAAACTGGAAGAAGCAAACAAGTTCGCATTCACAAGGTCGTCCCCGGTTCAGGACAGTTTGGCAACAAAATGTCCTTTTCTTCTACCCTGTTATTGAGTTGATATCTCAAATTGAAATCGAGCACTTGATGTTCTTCAAAATCTGCCCATTTTTACTGTTTGGTGACGATGGAGTGAATGTCCGCCCTCCAAATGGGTGGGTATTCCGTCTGGAATATGGCCCATCAGTCGTACACGCAGCCGAAGAACAAGGATAGCGTCCTAAATTCTGCATTTTTGGTGCGTGACGGTCAGATATCTACGAACGTGCGTTGATAATATCCGAAAAACAAACAATTTTTCACTGCCACGTCAGATTTTTTACTGTCAATTCGATCAAATACGTGTGTGTACTTTGAGGTCATTCAGCTCTATTTAATATTATGGTTGTCATTCAATGTATCTTGACCGGACCTTGTCGTAATACAAACTTTCGATGTCACATATGAGTTCAAACCAGTTAGGCCTATTTAAGGAATGAATTTTAACTCCCTATCCGAAACTTTAAAGTGGAGCATAATACCACAATCGCATGACCTCAGTCTAACTGATAAGAGTTATTCGTTCGTCGCTGATTTTCCAGAGAGCACTATCCGAGAAAACCGAACACTAAGTTGAATGGCGAAAAACTTCCCGAATTTGTGTCATAGGAGTTTGAATGAAATGAGCAGCCATACAATAACATCCGACGAGAAGTTGATTTGACTTAGTAATAATTGTTGTCATCATTGAAGACCCGGCGTTTTGTAAACAGCATTTGTCAAAGAAATTTATGCACACTTTGGAGCGGCTAGAATTTTAGGTTGAGTCTCGAGCTCTGGGTGTGCAGGAAATACCCCAGCACGAAAACTGCACCGACAGATAAGAGCGCTAGTTTAAATTGTAGATCAGATGTGTACAGCGTTTAGGTTCGTCGTTGATCACGATCTGCTAAGTTACAAGTAAACGGTCATTAAGTCGATTGACTTGTTAAAATGCTTCCATTTCTGCATATTCCAAATTAAATGGATGCCTTTTTATGAAGGCCTTCTATGGAATCGAATCCAAATTAGTAACATCCTGGGAAATCTTTTTGTTAGCAGCATGCCGTGAAAACACGGATTCGTCAGACATGGCTTAAGAGGAGAATAACATATTATTCCACATCCTCGACAGTCGGCTAGAAAAAAAGAATATAGTGTCAGTAGTCAAGAACGAAAATGGCGGATATTACTGAAGGTGGAAAGGATGCCGAACACTTGAGCTAATTATTCGCCTCGATATTCACATAGATGACGGAGTTTCTATTTCACGATCTCAATAGTACTGTTGAAAACGCCAACCCTTGACTTTACTCTACTCCTTTTTCGGATACTGTCACGAAGAGGTTACTTTAGAGTTTTCGAGAGGCTACGTGACTGGGTCAGTGAATTCACCAGCGTTGTTTATTAAAATTGACATGTAGACTTCCCAAACCATTAGCGCATATTTTCACTTCGCTATTTGAATTGGAGACACTGCTATCCAAAGGGACAACAGCAAATATGTACCCAATATATAGGGGTGAGGCACAAAGCGGTCTGGGTCATTGCTGTTCGGTCAGTCTATCCTGCATCTGTTGCAAGGTAGTGTAAATCGTTCCTAAGAATACGACAATGGAGTTCATGGAGAAGAGCCCATCTGAGCAAAATGGTATTGTTCTGTGCTGCATCCGGGACTTTTTGACCTAATCGTCACTCTTCACTCACTGTCTGTGTTATTGGCACTGGAGCCATACGTACGTAATTCTGTTTCTGCGTAGCTGTTTACCTTTAAATGTTTCAACAGTTTTAAATAGGGTCACCATGTCAGGGAGTCCGTTCCATTCTCAGACGAACTTCCTTGAAAAGCCGTCTCGTCGGACGTCTTTTTGGACCAATTACCTTTGCATTTTTGTGGGATGACCACCCAGACGGTCCGTCCCAGCTAATTCGAAGAAGTCATCAAAGTCTACTGCATAACCACGTCCTCTGACAATGCAGGAAGTTTGAGTGAAGACGTCGCGTAGTTGCCTGTATTTGAGATAAAATCGATTTACTTCGGAGATTCTCGACCATCTTCTTAGCCATCGCCAGTACTTTTTCCAGTTATTGATAATCCTTCTTGAATTGCGGCCTGCACGGCATACTCTAAGTGCGACCGAACGGATGTCCCGTAGCTTTTTCCGATGAGCTCTTTGTTAATCTGCACAAACTTTTTTCTCAGAACAACTGACAACCCATTGCGCGTTTGGCTGCCCTCAGTCACTGTTATGGTGGTTTACGGGCGGATGTCAGTGGGATGCCGAGATCTTCCTATCCCTCAGCATCTGAAAGGGACTTCCCATCAAGGAGGTGCCTGAATGAATCATCCTCCTTACTTGCCCTTCCTGTACGGACCACATATCTACCCACATTAAAATTTAGGAGTCAGGGAACTGAGCAGCTGCCAGTTTGGTTTAGACTCTCTTGTTCACTCTCAGTAGCTTAAATTCGTCAGAAAATATGACGGCACCGCACCTCGGGTCGTCGATACAGTCATTAATGTAATCTACGAATAGCGAAGGCCCTAAGATTGAGCCCTGGGGTACACCGCTTAGGACGGGGTAGGGATTGACTTCAAGTTAGCAATGCGCACGGTTTCCGATCACCCTGTAAGATTATCTACGATCCATGCCAGCTTGGTCAGTTTCACTCCGGTGGGAGTATGTTACAGTAACCGACCCGTGGATTTTCAGCAAAAAATCAACCGGCTAACAATAGTAATCAGTTTCCCTGCCCAACATTTTATCCCTCAAATTATACTCCTTTTTACTAACGTCAGCGTCTTTTGATGTCATAAAGTTTTTTGCAGAATCGGACAGGTGCATCCGGACAGTATATTCCGTGGACAACCAAGCATTGTACGATGTAGCTCAGCTCCCACAGAAACAATCAGTCCTGTCCGTTAAACTTTATGCTCTGAATGCCAGATCCTTGCTAAATAAGGCGTCTTTGCTTCAGACTTTGTTGTTCGTCCATTGCCCGGATATCGTCTTAACAAATGAGACGTAGGCAACAGCTTCAGTAACTGGTTCTGAACTCTGCCTTCTTGGCCATACTTGCATTCGAAATGATCAGCAAGACAGTCGTAGTGGGGCAGTAGCATCTGCGTCCGCATTTTTCCACGGCAAATAAATAAATAAATAATTTTGTATTAAGGACCCGTCGGGGTCCCATCAAAGCAAAATAAAATAAATGTACATGAGAGTTTTAGACGAGGTAGGCCGAATCTTTACAAAATGCAATTCGTAGTTTCTACATTAGTAGTCCATTTAGAAACATGATGATTGAGGGTGAAAAAAACTCCTTAAATAAAGTTAAAAATGATTGGATTAATTTTACAGGAGAAAAAAACCCTCAATAAAAATAATGACAAAAAGCGATCAGGACTGGACTGCAGGTGGCGGTATATAACGGAATGTTGTCGGTCATCGTCAGGGTAGCAATAAATCTCAGCCTTGAGGGGTACGTATGCGAGTCAGACAGGACTGGCTTGCATGTGGCATGGCATACGGGATTCACAATTGAGAACGTCTGAGCCAGATTGATACGCCACATGAGACTTTTCACGTCAAAGAGGCCAGACGAGAGGAACCCAAATGCGATCGGTCACAGCACGCTTCGAGCTCAGCCGAGCAGTTGGGAAGGGAGGTACGACCAAACTACCAGTAGACGGTGAATGCTGAGGGTTCCGCCGCGAGCGTCGACAGACCGCATGAGGTCGGAATGCGGGAGATGACATCAAAAACCGCGAAAATTGTCACTGTGGGGGAGGAGTGATAGCAGTGGATTTACAAACCAATTCAAAACAGGGGTTTCTAATGATATAATTAAGAGTTACCACTTGACCTACCACTAAATCCCAGGAGGACCCTTCTCGAAGTCAAGAATCTTGCTGATTTAAGGACGCTCGTGAAACAGACCGTAGTCGGCCAGAACGTGTCCAGTGTTAGAACCCCAAAAACGAAGAGCAAAACGCGAAAACGCGAAAAAATATCTCCTTGGGGGAATCTTCAAACACGAGTAGCAACTCAACAGCCAAAACCTCAGACGCCGGTAACAGCAGGACAATGAAAATGAAGCCGCCGATAAAGGGAGACTCTATTCTCACGCACGATGTCTTAAGCGATGTCGCAAAAAAGTTACATGTCGCGGAAGCCATCTCAACTAAGCCTCTTGCTGTAATTGATGGGATTTCTCTTCTGCCTGGAGACGATATACCTGGGTCATCCAGTCTACTGTTGCCCTCTTGTTCTGGCAACCACCCTGAACGCACTACAGAGCACATAGCTGAATGTGAAGACATAAACCCGTGGGTAGAGGGGAGAGAGAAACGCCATGACAGGATTCTGAAGTCACAGCCAGCCCTGATGGGTTGCTCGGGACAGTCGGTAGACAGTAAAAGTGTGCGTCCAAGCGATGACTCCGTAAATCGTCCTCGCCCACATGCAGCGCATTCACCGGAAAGACAGAGTAAGGAGAACCATGCTCGCCAGCAGTGTCTGGTTATTCAGGGCTTGTCAGAATCGAATGCAGTCAGACCTGAAGACCGTGTCTCAGAAGACCTTGCTTCTTTTCA